TGTATGCTAAAAGATGGAAAACCCCAAAAAAGACTTTCCATCATTCCACCATCAATCAGTGAAGACGTGCTGGACAGAAATTTTCACCTCCAGGAATTATGTTGCAAATTCAGGAGATTCCCTGGCTGAAGAGACACGTTCATCACACTGTGCCAAGTGACACGGAGAGTTGAATGAGAATGTGCTGAAATGATTTAAGGCAGCTAGATATTCCTCATAAGGAAACTAAAACCTCGGGCTATTACCTCATTATTGACAAGAAGGGACAATTGTTTTATGATGTTCATCTATGAAGCTGTACTGTCAAACTTTCCATATGAATTGTAAAAATTAGCAACGCATTGGCCTCAGACAGCTAACATCACCAGTGTCCCACCGACTGGCCCGTGACACCTCAGGCTTGACAGTAGTACCAGCATCTCGGGTCTACTCACCTCCCTCTCTTCTGCCGGCCAGGTTGTGCCATTGCTCACTCCTCTTAAGCCAGAGCCAGCTGGAGAAGTCCCTGACTAATTTCTTGTGGGCTGGACTCCCAGTGCTCTCCAGAGCGATTGCCCTGGGAAGCTCCTGCAACCAACCAGCTCCCTTTGCTGGCTTTCACAGATGAGGAGCTGATATTTTCAAAGCTTGCGCTCGTGTGCTTCCTGAATTATGAATCCACGCCTTGCGCTGAAAAGCTGACAGTAGTTTAACTTTTATGCACGTCCAAAAACCGCTAGAAAACCGTGACGTGTGGCGCAAGAAAGGAGCAAACAACATGGAACAATGGTTCTGCAGGTGATGCGTTTCTAGCGGTGCACTGAGAGAGGCAGAAGAAGAAATTGCTCCACCATGGGTATTAGGGGCATAGATTAAAGATGGCTGTCAGTATTTGCTTGGCCACCGTGGACGTAGCTAACAATGTCAGTGTTACTGTAGTTGCTATGGAACTGTGTCAGTAGTGGTTGCTACTAACAACAGAATATTCCATTAAATCTCTAATACTTACATTACTTACAATACTGTGTTTGTGTGTCTGTTTCCTTTTTCTTTCCTGAAGCATGTTTTTACAAAGCTGGACATGTTACAAGAAGCACTTTCTCTTGGTAATGACCTTTTTTCGACTTATGAAATTCTGTCACTCAAAAAGGGAGGCTTGACATTTAACACAGAAGGGGGCACGGGTAACTTGTTTACGACCACATTTTTTCCTAACATTGGTGGTTAACAAGGGTGAGTCAATGTACTGTCAACTGTGGTATAGGTTTCTGTCAGGATATGTCTCACTGTTCTCCTCACACCTCATCTTGATGTTGTCGTCCTCAAGCCAAAACCTACAAACACCAAACTGCAGAAATGAATACACAAATGGACTCATACATTATAAAATCCAAACAAACTGACGGATACAAACATGAAGGTCTCTTCATATTCAAACCTGAGGGTGTAATTAGGTTTGTTTGGAGGGACAGCTGTTTCTGGTAATGATTTGGGTTGGACATATGACTCCTGTCACAGTTTTGAAATCCTGTCTCTCCCACGAGGCTCAACATGTAGCACAGAGCCACTGGCGAAAGGCCTTATTTAGAGTCAGATATAGAAATAAAATGTGTTTTTAATAATCTAGCCGTACAGATAAAAGCATAAGCGTGAATGCATCAGAAACAAACAGAGGACACACTGGGATGTGATAGAACGCAGTGCTCATTTTGATTATTTGAGCTGACATCCTTTCCCTCAGGTATCAATAAAGTCCTGTCTTAGCTATAATCAGTAAGGGATGCAGTCCACTTTGTTAGCAAAATGACTAAAAAAATCTGCCTTGTTAACTCAGTCTGCTGCATAAACAATGTAAAGGTGTATTTATTGTATTTAATTCACAAATATGGTAAAAAGACAATTCTAGAAGGGAGACAAGGAAGATAACTGGATAAAAACTAATCACTGACTGCCTTTAATAATACATCATATTAATGTATTTGTTAAATATATTTTGTAGTAACTTATGAACTAAATAACGTGGCGTTAATGTGTAACACTTTCCTCTGAAATGTCAAGGAGTAAATGTACTTAAATGAAGTAAATACTCAAGTTAAGTACCTTAACATTAGTACTCGAGTAAATGTACTTACTTATTTTCCACCTCTGTTTACTTTCTCGTCTCATTGTTTGACGTCAGCGTGTCTCAGGCGAGGGGTTGTGAACTATAGTGCCTGCCTGAGGCTGACAACTAATCCAGGGATCACTTTCCAGGTGTCCTCATCAAAGCAAAGAGACGGCACGAGGAGCTGTGATTTATACAGCAGACAAGTTTATTTCAGAAGGAAAAAAAACAGAAATATTTGTTAGATGATACAGACAAGCCGGCACCCCACCATGGGGGGAGTGTTTCCACTTGTACATAGGCAGAGTGTCTGTCCAAACAGGCTGACAGGAAGTCCACACACACACACACACACACACACACACACACAGACACACACACACACAATAACAGACAATTTGGGAAAAATGCAAATGTTTTACTCACATGATTGTTATTCCAGTGAATCATCAGTACAATATTGAAAACATACAAATACAAAACAATGTCACACTTTTTTCATCCAGTCAAATATCTCCTAAAAAAAGCACTACTGTTGTCTCTGGAATTAAAGGGTCAGTTCACTCAAATTACTACATACAGCTTTTGTTCTGTGACTTGTTGAGATTGTTTCTGGAAAGACGTGACATTTTTGAATGTAATGTTTTAAAGCTGTGAGCAAAGCCAACTGAATTCTATTCATCTCCGTTGTACTGGGATGAAGGAATATCAGAGATTAATATCTCAAAACCTGGACAATATAAATCAAAATGAAGTGCATTGCTAGATACCACCAGACAAACTGGGTTTGGGTGAACTGACCCTTTGAAAGGAAGATTTGTTTCTGTTACAGCCACCCATAACTCGGTGGTCTCTATTATGTAAAATCTTTGGGCTGCTGCTGAGGATTATTATCACTATTAATAAATTTACTATTTTTATTTATTCATCAATTCATCATTTAGTCAAATGTCAAAACACACTATTAAATGCTCATAAAAAGTTATCAGACCCTGAAATAATGTCTTTATAATGCTACAAAGGTTTTGTTTGACCATCTGTCTGAAAGGTGTTTTTTACATCATTTACAATGATGTGAAACAGAAAAACAGCAAGAAAGCTTCTCTTTCTTCTTTCTTCTCCTGTGAGGTTGTGATGACCTTTACAGGTTTGTCCTGTTTGGCGTCAGGCACCTCAGTGAATCATCTTTCCAGCCAGCTTGCCCACACGTTCACACACACTCTGATCAGATTGAGGTAATCTCTCAACTGCTTTACTCATCGTCGTGGATACAAAGAGTGTCTCTGTTTGGTGGTCAACATTTGAAGTCTCTGGTTTTACTGGCACCGAACCTGAACCAACCAATACGCGTGTGTTTTGGCCCGCAGATCACAGTACTCTCACACATATCACACAGTCAGTTACTTAACATCAATCTGTGATCACTTTGATTGATCAGTTGGTCAGAACGAAAGTTGTATTCAAGAAAAACATCTATATTTATACATGAACACGCCGTTGCATGCCATTATAAATACACTCACACATACACAGACTCAATCGGTACTTGATCTAACTCAGTGTGGGTGAGTGTCTCTAATCAGACCGGTCCAGACTCGACTTTGTGGGAGTTCTCTTCCAGCCGATCACACACACACACACACACACACACACACACACACACACACACACACACACACAAGTGAGATAAAATGTTTTTGTCGATTTAAACTGAACAACCCATTAATGTTGACTGGAAGTGGGAGAGTTCAACTTTGTTTGTATCGCACAATTTCATGCAAGCGCAGTTCAAAGGGCTTTTGAGTAAGAATTAAAGAGACAGAAACAGAAATAAATAAAAGTAAAGGAAATTGAAAACAGAACTTTAAGATACACAATAACTATAAAAATGTTTAACTGGCTGGTTTTACAGTAAATAAATGATGAAAGGCTCAGATCAGCAGGGCGGCTGTCCTGTGCTGCAGATGCAAAGATGTTATCACACTTTATTTGGAGAAAGTTATGGGGATATAAAGCAGACAGGTGCTTTGTGACAAGATTTTTTTAAAAGATCTGGAGGGTTCACGACAGATGGTGCGTTCACTGACATCTACAATTGACTCTTCCTAAATCCCTTTTGCTCTGTGCTCCAAAAACAGTTCAGAAAACCTCGGTCAACTTTCTCCCCTCCTGTACTTAAAGCTAGCTATGTGCTGGGCTCATCTATGTTGAATGCATGTAGCATTTCTAAGTACAGGAAAGGGGAAGATTGACAGAGCTTCTCAATTAATGTGTCTCTATCTTTCTTGTGGGGCCAAAAAGGCACATTTTGGTGTATGTAGATCAGAGTACAGGTGGTCATTAAGTGTTTATATTGACATATTGTGCAATTAAGTGCAGCAGATTTCACATTTGAGGCCTTTTATGCAGAGATGTTACAGGCTTGATAGAAAATGAAAGGATTACAGTAAAATAAAAGAAGCAAAACATGGAAAAGTAGAAATTTGCTAGCCTGATTAAATAATAAATTCTAAGCATATAGGAGGTCTTATGAAATTGTCTTGTGGGCTGGATTTGGCCACAGCTTGCAGAGTCTTGAAACTTGCTGGAAATTGATGACTTATCACAGTGACAATGCTGCATTATTTATTTTACCACAACCGTTTTTTAGATTTTCTGGCAAGATATAGCTTGTGAATATAGTGCTGTTCAATGGCTGATTCATTCAAGTCTCAAACGTCAGACCCTCCCACCGACTCATGAATGCATCATAGTGACCTTTCAGATCAAATCCATTGATAGTCAATAGGAATGTAAAACAAATGGGAAAAAACATGAAAACACTAATATATTTTATTTTTTGTCTGTTCTTTTTCTTTCTTCTTTTGATCTGTTTCATCCTTCCTTTCTCCCTCTCTGTGTCTGTTTGTTTGTCTAGTGGTGAACCAGGAGGGACAGCCTCTGATTGAGGGGAAGCTGAAGGAGAAGCAGGTCCGCTGGAAGTTCATCAAACGCTGGAAAACCCGCTACTTCACCTTGGCAGGAAACCAGCTACTCTTCCGGAGAGGCAAATCAGTACGTAGCCCATGAAAACTAAGCCTCCTCACACACAAACACACTTCAACACACATGCACATTGTCCCTGGCCTCTCACTTAGAAAATCCTCATTAATATTTCCTTGTTCCGTGTCATTTGATCATGATGAAACTGTTTATGAAACAGTGGAAATCTCATCTTGTGATAAGCTCAACTGTCCCTCAGGAGCATCCTGTGAATCCAACTGTAACAAACCATGGCCCCGGTAAGGACTCTTGGGGGACTCCCAAGGCCAAAGCATGATGCGGCACCAAGATGAGTCACTCTCACCCACTATAACACAAAGCAGATATCATTACGCACAAGTAGCAAACACACAAGATGAGGCACTGCCTCGTATTGTATGTGTGAGTGAAAGAAAGACAGAACGCAAAGGTGAGGAGATTTCCCTCTTGGTTGCAATAACACATTTTTTCCTCCAACTTCACTGTGTGCTGGTGACTTACTGTAAGGGTGAACAAAGGCTGAGGTCACAGAGAATTATTGTGCAAAAAGGAAAAATCAAAAACAGCAGCATAATCACAAATGTTTTGAGGTCAGAAAATGTTTCCTAAAAAATAAGGTCAGGTTGACCCTACAACTTTTTTTTTCAGCTCAGTTCGTGACAAAATCAGATATATTTGGAACCTTTACTCCACTTGTACTTATATCCTGGTTTATCGCTATCATCTACTATCATCTCAATTGTAATTTAAATCATTTTCACAGCCAACAAGAGATACGGTATCCTCTGGATCTTTAGACTGGGCCAGGTTTATAAAATCAGCCCCCAAAAAACGAGAGCAAGGCACGACATCACAGAGGAATATCTGGAGGGGGGGGTATTCTCACAAATGTAAAGTAAAACTCTCCTTTTTTTCCCTTTTTTTTCTACTCCGAACAATAGTCTTTGTGCTCCAATCCAGATGGTAATGGATTCCTCTCAGCAGCCACAAATTGGAAGGGTTTTGTGTCTTTGTTCTCAGTCTGTCTTTGCCAGCATGTTCTGGAGGTGGTTGGTATGTTGTGAAAGACCTTGCCCAAGTCAGGAGTGAGATTAAGAACCAAAAAATGTTGTTCACACTGAATTATCAAGCAGCTTTGACACACTGAGTGGTGTGAAACATTCCCCAAAACCACCAGCCTGTTATCTCGCTCAGGTCACATTTATTTTATGAGGAAGCATATACCAAGTGGATGATTAAGGATGCTTATTTTCTCTGTATCGTAGGTTATTGTTGATCCCAGTGTGTCCTCCCTTGAATATTGCATTTTCTTCTTAATTAGGACCAGACAGAGAGTGATGCCAAAGTACAGGCAGGCCTGGACTTCGATTTGGCAAGACCTCATGCAGGAATACAGAAAAAAATTAGGGACAGGAAATTAGAATGAATGAGGTATTCAGTGTGTCTATACTTAACACAGCACTTAGATACAGTTGTTGTGGATATTAACCTAAGCCCAAGCACTTATACCCTTTATCCAATTTACAGTTTGCTGTATTCAACAGATTGTGAAGCTCCATAATCCATAATAATTTATTTGCAAGGTGATGTGAATTCAAAAAGCAAACATGCACATCATGAAAAGAATAATTTTAACAACAGACAAAATGGTTCTTTTTAGCAGCAAAGTGTAGTTGTACTGTTGTGAGTGTCTCCCCCAAAAAACATCCCAAATTTTTTTGTCAGGGTACAAATATGAATAGTGATACAATACAATAGTATAATAATATAAATAAGAGAATAATCTTGCTGTCTCAACAAATACACACATAAATACACTAAGGTGTCTGGACATTTTAATTTATTCCAAACTACAGGAACTTCAAGTCTCTGGCTTCATACCAGCACCTTTGTCTCATTCAATGTATGCTGTCAAAGGCGTTAAAAGAATGAGTAAGTACACACTAAAGGTACAAAATGAATAAGGTTTAAGTATCATGAAGCAATATCTTAAAGGATTATTTTCATCCCATGGGTAAAATCAAGCAAATGTCCATTTAAATCAGTACATCCACTGACATGGATCTGCTGTGGGAAACCAGACCCTCAGCACAGCCAGCGGGGAGGTAAAACTGTGAACACTTTGGTTGAATGCTTTTCAACAAACACCCTCACACACACACCACAGAAAGGATGTGGGCTGTTGCCATAAGTTTTGCAGCCAGCTCTGGTTATGTGGTTATAACCACCACAACGAACTATGAGGTAAGAAGACATGGCTGTGGTGCAACATACACACAACCACACCTCCCCACTCTCACACACACACACATTCAAAATGACTCTTAGTGGGGTAAAACATGGAAACGATGTGCAGCACAGCTGGAGGATATCCTACCCTGGAGAAGAAGAAGAACAATAGTGTAATTGTTTGTAATTGTCTGTGAAAGGTTTCTTCTGAGGTTGTATGTACTGGAAACAACATTATGACACACAATTGTGATGCTGAAATAAGAAGGCAATGTCGGACATTGTGGCAACAAGAGATATTGATATGGTTAAAATGCACAAAGAGACTTTAAACATGGCTGAAGATAAATTTCTTCAGTTTTCTTTATTATTAAGATCTCTTTTCTAATCCTACATTAACTCAGTGAGCACAGGTTGTGTAGCTCCAGGTGATATGGAACAATAGCTGTTGGCAAATGAAGAATTATGTGATTTTTCACCTGAAGTTTTCATTTGTTCGATTGTTTCTCTACCTCTCTCATTTTACCCCTCGCAGAAAGACGAGCTGGATGACATCCCCATTGAGCTGAGCAAGGTGCAAAGTGTCAAGGTGAGAAGTTACATTGCATCATCCCCCAGAAAACTTTCATCTGCAAGAAGTCTGCTCCCAAAACCTTTTTATCTTTACTACTGTGTGAAAGGTCTAAATGCTCCCCAGTCCCAAGTATAAATAATTTAAGAAGACATCCCCAATACCGTGAGCAGCATTGCGGCCGTAAAGTGAGAAACAAGGGGGCTACATAAAGCTTCTTCTCTTTCTCCTTTTTTATTTTCCATAGGTGGTAGCCAAGAAGCGGCGTGATCGCGGCCTGCCACGGGCCTTTGAGATCTTCACAGACAGCAAGACGTACGTGCTGAAAGCTCAGGATGAAAAACATGCTGAGGAGTGGCTGCAGTGCATCAACGTGGCCGTGGCTCAGGCCAGAGAGAGGGAGAACAGAGAGGCTACCACCTATCTGTGAGAGCAACACAGTTAAAGCTGCAGTACGTCACATTTATAAAATATACATCTGCTTTCACTATATCCTCACAGAAATAATCAGGTTCCTCTGGCTCCTCCTACTGATCCTAAAAACGATCGAATCAGAGCCAAGAAACATAGTTAAAGGTTGAGTCTCATTCCAAAGTCGTACATATTGGTATTTGATGACCTGGGAATGAGACTCAACAATCAATTATATTGATTGGTTTCTTCCAAATGCCATTAGGAGCACTAGGAGGAGCCAGAGGAACCGGATCTGTCTTGTCTTCTACTATCAGGACATAGTAAAAGTTACCTACTGCGGCTGTAACTAATGAGGACACATACTTTACTACTGACAATACGTACATGCCAAGCACACATGCAAACTCATACATGCACAAATATACACTAAGTAATATTTTGTTCAGCTGTACACAAACACACAAAACACTCACTGCCAGTAGTTTAACTTTATATCTGAAATCAATGGAATACATCTCCACCCCGCTGAGGGCGGAGCACCTATCAAAAACAATCGAAAAACAACTTCTTATGCAGTATTTTTAGAAACAAAAAAGACTCACCGTATGGTGTGTCCAACCAGTATGAAGGGTGGTTAAATTTTTTAAATACTGACTGGCTGAACTTACTGTTACACTGCGGACTCTGATGCACCTACCAACTGTGGACCATCATAAATGAATGTTACAGTACATAAGTGTGTTAGAAGATCTTCACCTGAGTGGACCATACAGTGTGGAAACTCCCTCTGCTTGAGCTTCAACAACCATACAAAACCAGCATCTGTGGAAACCTGGGATTTCTGAGTTTAATGATGCATAATGATTGAGATGTATTTGAGTCCAGAGTAGTATTTAGCAATAAAGACTCACAGACATCATAAAGACTTGTAGCAATAATGAGACTGAACAGTTTCTCTTGAAAGCAGAAAGGCTGAAGAAGAGGAGCCTAATGGACAGCAGATGAGAAGGACATTCAATACTGGAATAATGTATGTGTGTGTGTGTGTGTGTGTGTGTGTGTGTGTGTGTGTGTGTGTGTGTGTGAGAGAGAGAGAGAGAGAGAGAGAGTATAATGTAGTCGTCAAGGAATAGTTCAACATTTTGGGAAATTGCCAAGAGTTATATGAGAAGATTAATACCACTCTCATGTCTGTATGGTACGTATGAAGTTACAGACAGAAGACTGTTAGCTTAGCATAAAGACTGGAAATAGGGGGGGATTGCTAGCCTGGCTCCGTCCAAAAAAAACAAAATCAAACTCTACTAGCACCTCTCATTTATAGCCCTGGACGTAACTCCCCATAAAACCAACTTGTCGACCTTCAGGCCGAGCCAGGCTCGATGTTTCCCACCAATTCAAGTCTTTATGCTAAGCTAAGCTAACCCTGCAGCTGTCTGTAGTTTCATATTTACCAGACAGGAATATTAATGTAGATATTGAATCCAGTGTTTTTAAATAATTTTGTATCATGTATTTTTCATCAATAACAAAACCTTTTTTCCTTGAAGGACAGTAGACAACAAGTTATTTAAGAATCAATGTTTCATCCAAAATGTAAAAACATTTTGATCCTTTTTTCTGTTTCTACTCTTGTACTAAAGTGACTTATGAAGCAAGACCCCCTAAGAGTTAATGCAGTGGTCAGATTGCAGATGCAGTGGGCTATTTTTTGCTTTCAAGCTAGAAACGTCTGCAACAATTCTCTCCCACGTTTCACTCGTGTCGGCTCAACTGTTGCTTAACACTGGAGTTAGACCACATATTTCTAAGAAAACGCTGAAGGAAATTAGTGGTTTGTTTGCAGATTCAGAAACAGTGCCAGTTCAGTCATACTGATTTAAAACAACTCAGTAAAAGGTTTAGGCAGCGAGAGACTGTAGATGTATCCGTCATCTTCAAACAGGCCCTGTCCAAAGATTAGGGGTTAAAAGCTCGTGTGTTTTGTGGTCTGTTGTTTAAACTGTGATACTAGATGAAGGAGAAGTGAGCATCTGAGCTCCAGTTTTCCACCTGAAAAACTCAAGGCCAGCACATACGTGGAGCACTATAACTCCCTTATGTTGCACACTGATGCAAATCTCTTGATCCAAACATTCCCGGTGGGCCGTGGCAGATTGATGCCTGATTCTGATCCTGATCTGGATCCACATCTGAGTTGTGTGTCTTCCCACAGGTGAATGCATATCAAATGCTTTTGGTTAAACGTATAAAATGCGATGTTCGGAATACTTTAAAAAAGATTTTCTTTTGGTCTGTGTATGCAGTCATAACACTGCCCCACCCCACCGGGTCAGGTTACCACCGTGTGTGCTCTTTGCTGTCTGTGTGACCCCCTCCACACAGCAGGGCTGGCCTGCATCTGCTTACACATATATTTTATAAACGTATTATTTACTTCATGCCTCTCCTTCACATTTTGATTCCCTCCTTCCTCCTTTAAGATTTATGACCTACATACACAGCTGGCTATGCGCCCCAATATCAGGGGGATTTCCTGCAATAAAAGCTTTTCTAAAAGGAAACATGTTGTAGTTTCGCTAGTGGCTCTACGGGATTGTCGGTCTTATTTTTCATCTAGTGGCATCATGAGGTCAACATTTTAATATGTCTAATACTTAAGTTTATGACCGAAATACCTACAACATTAATGACATTCCCATGAGCCTCAGCTGTACTTGTACTTGTTTGTTTTTAGTGCTCATTAGCTAATGTTAGCACCATATGCCTCACAGAGCTGCTAGCGTGCCGCTAAGCTAATCATGGCTTCCCCCCCGTTTAACACGTATCCACCATCATTTTTTCCTAAAGCAAACGGACCCGAGTACAATTATATATAGTAACATTTTAAATATTTTTTTTATTCTTGATGTGTCAGCTTTAGCACCTAGCGACAGTTACTTACTGTCAATAGATTTACATATACATTTATATATATATATATAGATTTATAGACAAAGACTTTCAATCACTTGATTATTGACACTTCGGTGGCATTTGTCGTGTGACGAACCTCTCCTATCTGTGCAGATAAGCTGGCTGGAACAAACTAAAGTATTTGTGTTTAACTGAACTATACCCGCTCCAGCTTCAGTTCAGAAAGTCTTCTCCCCTCCGCTCTAAATGTTCCATGAGGCTGACTTTACCCTCATAGTTGCACAGTGTTGATTTCTCCATGTTTGAAGTGAATGTCTGATCATATGAATGTCAAAGTTGTCTAGAAGTAACAATGTAACATGCTGCCATGTTGGCCTAGTTTCCAATCCTGTGGGGCCAGAAAAAAAAAGAGGAATTGTTTTAGGAAGGTACTTTCCTCCTAATGAAATACATTTGTAGGCAGCTGAGTAAATAGACTACAGGATAGATACTGTAGCATCTATCTATCTATCTATCTATCTATCTATCGTCTCACACTGGAGAATAGTGAGCTGTTACTTTAAAGCACAATGAGATTACACTGAGAGTTTAGAGAGCAGATACCAGGATGGAAACACTGCTGTAAATTTCAACAATCACACACTGTATGTATATGTGAAGATGATTGACACAAGTATTAAAGTTTCTGAATGTATAAAAACATTTTTTAATATAAATATCAGCCTTGTGTAAAGAATCATGATTTTTTTTTTTTTTACATTTTACTGTAGTGTTGTTAAATTACATTTGATTTTATGTTGATTTTTGATATAAGGTCAATATTTATTTTTTACAAGCACTATTGTAACACTTCAATCATGTCTGCAAAGACTAGTGAATGACAGATTTTACCATGTCATCTCTGTCTTTCTTCCCCTGTTGTTTTTATATAACTGAATTAAAACTGCAAACAAATGAATGCTGTATTTTATTGACAATTAAATTGGTGTTGTTATGGATTGTATATTTGCCTGTGGCACCGTTTGCATGTCTGACACTGCCTTCTTGTCTTTTTCCTGACAGAATTGTACAATAAATCTTTACCAGTGAAATCAGTGAATCTCTCCGACTCTTCTGTCTTTCTACACCTGGGTTTGGTTGTGTTCACAAATTACATAATAAAATAAATTGAATAACGGTTTCCTGGGTCTTCACTAAAAGAAAAAAAAGAAACTGATTTGAACAAAGTAGGGATTGTTTCTGTGTCTAAGTCCAGCTTTAGCTAATTTGTCCAGTTGAGTTCACTTACCGGGCTGACTCACACAGTGTTGCCCACAGTGACAGTGATCCTCTGGCCAAGAGCTCCTATCTGTTGCTTCAGTGCTTTCTGCAGAGGACGAGCCACACACACACACACACACACACACACACACACACACACACTGGCAGCAGTATACCATATTTCTAATCTCCAGGAGATCATTTCATTACATCCCAATGTACATTAAGATAGATGCTGTGCAGAGACACTGACTGCAGAGACACTGAGCGTAAACCAAAACATTCCTTCCTCCTTGCGTGTAAATTTGTACTATTTGCGCCATCTGAAGAGATTTTCTCTGGCTCCAAACCCTTCAGATTGGATCTCCCGCTGTCACTCTTTTCATGATTGTTGTGATCCAGAAACCAGTTTCACACATCAGCTGAACTGAGTCTGGCAGAACTGATTACTTGACATTCTCAAACTGACATTATGTTCCCATTGCAAGCATCCAAAAAGCACTTCCAGACACAGATTTAGTATTACGAACCCTAGGGTACGATATTTGTCACAATTATGGAGTCTATAATTTCTGGATTGTTAACAGCAGAAGCTCTCTCTGTTTAGTTGGAACATTTAATCCAAACAAATGCAACAAGAAATTTCTGCTTTTAAAGGCTGTGTGTGCTCAGTACACACATTTTAATTGCTTGATGCCTTTATGTTCAAACTACAAACAAATGTGTTCCACGATCATTTTTTTGGCCACCGTAAAGATCTGCTGTAAACATGTGCAAGCCTTCCTTGGAGTTAAAAACCTCATCTTTTGGCATAAACCCAAAGCCAGTATAGTTACTGGCATATCTCTGAATCACACAGATTATCTGGTCATAGTGGCGCTCACAAGCTAACCCCAGCACAAAGACATTTGGCGTTACAAAGATCTTTGTCCAACAATGAGAAAAATACATGTGTCTGTGCCTTTCTCCCTTCTTACTGTACATCTCCACACAGAATCAGGAAAGTGCAGCAACACCGGAGAGATCAGACCCTCACATCCCCACACTTCAACTACAGCTGACAGAAATACATGATCTCCATCAACTGTCAGTTCAACACTTTCTCCAGATGAATCTGTGCTGCCTCCTGTGTAACAAACAAAAGGCTTAATCAAATGAGCAGTGAGTCTTCCATTGGTTCCTCCATTGGTTATTAGTAGCTGTAATGATAGACATTAAAATGCCTCAGCATCTGTTAGACACTATCAAGTCATCAGTCGTGTCATGTTGAATCCCGACCATTTTTTTTACAAATCCTTAAAGGTCCAGTGTGTAACATTCAGGAGGCTCTACTGGCAGAAATAGGAATATAATATTCACAGGTATGTTTTCATTCCGAGGACTTCACGGAGCAATGGGACTAATGTGCGCCCCGGCCCCGCGTTACAATCCTTGGGCAATAAAAAGTGATTAATACATAAAAATAATACATAAAGAATCTTACATATAGAACCTTTAAGATGATATTAATGTAATTCCCAACTTCAGGACGAGAGGTTTCATTTTATAAATCAACTGATATTAATTTGGCATGTTCGTGAGTGTGTTGTCATTCATCCATTTACAGTCTATTCTGTTCTCTATGGGGCCTCAAACTGATCAGAGGAGAGTGAAAGCCATGACCTCATATTGAAGTAACTCTACCAAGTTATAAAACAAACCAAATTTAAATATAGTTAAATGCAATGCCCTACAGCTACATACAGTACAGACAGGGGTCATTGGTACACTAACTGCCCAGGGGACAGGGTCCAAACATTTACTGGCACATCCTTTACAACAGGGACACTGGAGCACCTCGCCTGAGGCCCTCACTTTCTGTTTAGTAATGTTTCACTGCATCTTCACCTGATCTGATACCATACTCTCCCCATTAGTTCAAACCCATCGGCACTGCTGGTAAGATGAGGTAATGTTCAGAGTTTATCACTGTAGTGGATTTGTCAGGTGGGACCTCACGCAGACCCACACAGAGTACACTGAATGATTATAAGCCGCGTATTGTTTGTATCAGGGGTGTATTTGACCCATCTCCAACTCAGCAAAGATTTACAGAGCTGTCAGACCAACAGCCAATGTGTGTGTGTGTGTGTGTGTGTGTGTGTGTGACCTGTATGTGAAGGTGCTTTAACGCGCATCATAAAAGAGTGTGTTACCCAATGCTTGGCAGTGTGTGCGCCGCCTTCCTGTTGCACAATTTGAAAAGCATCAGATGGCCCGACAGTGTGTGTGTATGGCATGTCATCAGTAACTGTGTGACAGATTTGATGGAGTATGTAAGAATTAAAGACTGGAAACTCTGAGACCAAGCAACTGCTTCATGACACAGGAGAGATGGAGCAGTGAGTGACAGACGATGATAAAACCACATGTGGGGGTCTGGAAACTTCCCCAGTATGCTCCCTCAACCCCTCCTGGTTAAACTGTATTGTACCATTTACATTTCAAACAATACATCTCTAATTTAAACATGTTGCTGTTGACCTCTAATTTCATTTAAGTTCTCATTAAGATTTGGCTCAGGCTTCTTCTGTGCAATATCTTGTTCTACCTCATTTTTTGGCAAAGACGCCACCAAGTAAACCATCATGAAGTCCAAGAGGTCAGAGAATCAGTTCATGAGTTTATAGATTGTCCCTGCGGTATTTTCAAACACCAAGTGTGGAACAAATGTCTCTGAGTTGGCCAAAGGGACTGTGGTGACGCATTTTTTTAAAATTTCTCATTAGTCATTAATTACATTCAGCTCTATCTGTTGCTCACTATTAAAATTAATCTTCTCATTAAGACCTAGTGAAAATATTTTTATAAAGCTGCGTTCCGTTAAAGTCCGAATATGTGAAGTCTGAGGAAAGACTTGAGTACTTATATTAATAAGTACAACAGCACCCTCTACTGCCACAACACTGATCCAGATTTTCTTTTAGAAGTAGGTAACACTCAAATCAAGTCACTTTTACCTCAAATTAAATCATGGATGTTGAGATAAGTCACGTGCCTTAGTGAGTCGAATACAAATCTGATCAATAGTCCGTCTTCACCAAATATTGAACAGAAATCATTTAGTTTCAATGAAGACCAAACAGTTCAGTGGTATAACTCATTTATTATTAAATAAAAACTGGACATGAACACGTGCAGACTAAAAACCAGTTTAACAAATTGACGACCCTAAAATTTTCTGAATCAAGTCTGCATCCCCTGCTGTAAAAAAAAAAAGGAAAAAAAAGGGAAAAACATACATCTATAACCGGTTTGCTTTTTTTTTTTTAACTGTACAAAACACAGCTTTAGCAACATACATCTGTCCAAAAAAGGAAACAAAAAAGGAAACAAAAACCACTCACCTGCCAGTCCCTTAATGTGCAAACATATTGATCTTTCCTGAATGATCGCTTTTATTTTACATTTATCCATTCAATCCTCCCACTGAGCAGTTTGCTTTTATAAATCAAAGCGTTCACATATTGTCAGCGGATATCAATCCATCTTTACACTGTAAATAAGTTTCTTTTTCCGAAAGTCCATAACTTTACATGTAAAACCAAGAACACAAGGGTAGGCTAAAGGGATGGTAGTGGTGTGTGGGTATCATGGGAAAAGAAAGAAACTCATAGGTGGAGGAGACAGACAGGTCTGGGACTGATGTCACACTGCACTGGTGCATTCCCTCAACCACAAATCATGTCTGGCCAGGTGGGTAAAAAAAATGCCTAGTAAACCTACAAACAGTCACACTGCATGCTGGTAGTTACTGCTGCAGCCTGGGTATCTCAGATGCACACGTTTTAATCTACAAAAACACACCAACCACCTCTGCCAAATATCAGCTACAGGTGAGGCTGTTGTGTAGATGACAGTCGAAGCAATGATGATCTGTCACCAAGACGTTTGTGCATGCAGAAGCTATGTGTAGGATTCAGGACATTTTAACATTGTTCCATAAATGCCTCCAATGTCGAGGCTTTAATAGTTATTCATAGTGACATTTTCATAATAACAAAACTGAAGCGTAATTTGGTTTAGGCCAACAAAATTAAAGGTTGAAGAGAATAAACATTCCTGTAAATTATATAGTTCCAATGGTCAGTTTCAGGATGCATATGAGAAACCCAGAAACCCAAGTAGGCTTGTAATATACTCAAAATGAAATCAGACTGTGTTCAGACATGTATCATTTGGCTTTGACAGCGGACTATATTGATGGGTTTTTTAATTAGTCACCAACTCATAAGACATGTCAGCAGTCATCTGACCGGTTGCAGATATTGGCTTTACTTCCAATATGAGTTGTAACAACTTTATACGCAACCCTTTGAAGAACGTGCACAATGTGTCTGCTGACATGACTCATGTTACTAGAACACACCGATCTGATTTGGTTTTGAGTATACTGAAAATACTTTAGTGACTATCAGTCCTAGAGCTAGTCTGTTGGTGTGTGTGCGTGTGTCTCAGCGCCGGTGACGGCTATGTCCTGAGTGTCCACTACTGCTGTGGTGTTTGCTCTTGTGGCTACGCTCCCTCTCTCTGTCCCTGTCATAGGACCGAGATCTCTCCCTCTCCCTCCGTTCTCCTCGATGACCAGTTCCTCGCTCATGTTTGTGTTTCTTTGAAGAGAGGTCAAAGGAGGTGCGGTCTCTGTCTCTCTCCCGTTCCCTCTCTCTGTCACGGTCCCTGTCGACTTTGACTGGAGTGCGGGACCGTGTCCGAGAACGTGAGCGCTTTCTCTTGTGACCAGATCCTCCGCTGTTGCTGTGGCGTCCGCTGGACTTGGAGTCGCTGTTGCCATGGTGGCTGGTCTTGGACTTGAGGTGGGGGAGGAGGGGCGAGGGCTGATGTCGCCTAGGTGATGGACTACGACTGTGAGAGCGAGAACGTGAGCGAGAACTGTAAGTCCCTGAGCGACTGCGTCTACTGTTGTAACTGTGGAAACAGAAGAGGAAATCAAAATATGAGGAACACATCGAGCTAGTTGAACAAAATTACTGGTTGTCCCGTTAACAAAAGCTTTCAGTGTTATCCCTTCATACAAGTCAATACTTAGACCAGTAAACAAAGAATTACGTTACACATTGTAAGTAATCTTACTGTCTGCGAGGGGAGCGGGATCTAGATCGGGAACGCGTTCTCGAGCGAGACCGACTTCCACTCCTGCTGTTCCTCCCAATCTTCACCTCTTTCCTTAAGCTTGGGAAAGAAAAAACAAACATTAGGTTTGTGAAAATAAAAAGACACACTGTTCAATAACAATTAAATACTTAATGAGGGACAAGTACTGAGAGTACTGTTTCTTACCCATTGTGTGGACTCTTGTTGACCTGAGTCCGGTTGTCTGGCTCCTTCTTAACTGGTTTGAGGGTCTGCGGGTTTGGGGACTTCTCTTCAACCTTGGCCACATTTGGGGAGCATGGCTTGGAAGCAGGAGAGAAGCCACCCAGTGTGGACAGTGCAGGGGTACCATCAGGGTTCAGGCCCTTGGCCTTCAGCTTAGCTTCTGCCAAGAACACCTTCCTCCGCTCAACCTCCTTCTCCATCTGGTCATAGTTAGGCTGGAGAAGAAATCAAAGTGTCAGTTTACACAGACAACACTCAGTTCCCTTTATTGCATACTGAGCCGTTTTACAGCTTTGCAGACTGATGTAATGTGGCAACTGCAAGTCACATGATGACCCATGGTCGTACCAATGCTGTGCTATTCAAAACAAAAACAAGACAACGAAAAAAATACCTTCTTCCTGGTGTAGAGTTTAAGGGTGGTGATGCAGACCTCTTTGACCTCATCTTCAGTGGCTCCGAACAGCAGGAACCAATGAGGTCTGGATGGCAAAGGTATCTGAGGATAAAAGGTTATAACATTTGGAGGTGTTATACTGTATGGCTATAGATGGTTTGACGTGCTGACATTTGGTGTGAAAACAAGCCCAACATATTTCTCATTTGTGTTAAGGTGAAAAAGGTTAACATTTCCTCTCTTACCTGCAGAGCACGGGCAGCGAGGAATATGCAGGCACAGGCGATAGTCTCTGCTTGGAACCTCACAAACACGTTTGTCCTCAGGGTGTCATTCATGTAGTTCCTATAAAGGCAAAAAGAACACATAGAAACAAAAACATAGCATCTTCTCTACACAAAGCCACCTCTTACTCATACCGAGTCATGTCACAGCTTTAACCACATGATTACTGTAGGTCAATGATCGCCAACATTTTCTGTCTATAGAGCTAACTCCTGATCACGGCTTTGTACATTTCATTCTTGAATAAAGCCTCGCTGAATTCTTACAACTAAGAAATCTTCACAACTGAGAAATGTGTTGCTGGTGACTTCTGATGAAGCACAAACACTGACTAACTGGTCACGGCTATGCTGGAGAATAGATTTCCATTAGTGGATATTAACCATTAGAGGCACTGAAAGCATTTCAATTGAATAACAAGACCTGATAAGTTACAAAGAAAAAGCTAAGCATTGTCAAGTTACACAGTGCACAGAGAGGAGATATGTAGTCAGATCTGTTTAACTTTGTCCATTTCTCTCTGGGGTATCCATGGGAGTGCTGTATGTCACAGGTAAAGCATGAAGACAAATGGGAAATAATCTACTGAAGACCTGCCGAGACCACCTTACCACACTATGACCTGGGAGTAACTAGATTAAGAAAAATGATGATCGAGACAATGACACATGCCTTGGAAGGGAGGATGGGGGATGGGGGGCATGCAGGCATATGGATGTAACACATTCATTGACAATGCAGGTGCCACTTCTTTAGGTCTGAGGGAATAGGACAGCACAGCATGTATGGTGACATGCACAACAGCTAGATTTTGGGAGTCAGTAGCAGGTTGATGTAAATGATTCAACACAGTCCTAATATTTTGACTTTAAAGTTTGTACGTTTAGTGTTTTGAACTATAAAGACTGTTGCCTAGAAATGGATACAAGAACATACAGCTGAAAAACAGCCACCACTATCCACTTCAAATAAATGCTTTCCAACCATTAGTTGAAATTGACCCTGGTAAGACCACTGATTCTATTTATCTGCAACCCCATTCCACTATGTGGCATTGTAATACACTAAAAAGACATTAGGTGGCAATCTATGCATCACTACTTAGGCCAAGTGTAATCTCTGTGCTACAAAACAGATTACATGTCAGTGGGGTTGTCTACGGCAATGGATAAATTAGATTAGCCATAGGGAGAGCATTAGGAAAGACAACATGGCCAGGATGTGAATCAGGCAAGTACAGGGTGGTGTGAACATCTATGTCCTTAAGACACATAGAGGTCAGAGAGACAAAAAAAAAACGTGTGATAAGAAACATGAAGGTAAAAACCGAGAGACACTAACTTGACACGGATCCCACTCCATTATCAAAATGAACTACAGCCAGGAAAATACTAATACACTTCACAAAGCAGAGAAACGTCATGTCTACAGTGGTGACACTCCATATGCATACTATACTGTGTATGTCAATTTCCATCCATCAACATGGTATGTACTGCTCCAGTGGAAGTTTGCCACAAGTAACTTGAAAACCTGTCACACAGCGATTACTTCCAGTCTAACCTGCCTTCAACAAATGACCTGACGTGCACTTTGGCAGGTCGGTGTGAAACTGCTATGCCAACGCTACTATAGATTACACATGGCCGTTGGATTCTGACTGCTGCGTGGGCGAGACAGGTCCTTGGAGGCAAAACCTGAGAACTGGATCAGCCTGTAAGACAGACACATGTCTGGACACCACGTCAGTTGGGGACAGGACACAGTATACTACTGTAAATATTTTTTAAGAATAGGCAGGTAAACTGGTAAAAAAAAAAAGTTTACTTCATTGCTAGATGCAAGTAAACTAGGAGAAAAAAAAGTCAGAATATAAATGTATCTGAAGCTACTTGGCAAAGATAGGTATTACAGTTAAAACCTTTGTAGCAAGACCAAAAAAATACAAATCCTTTTGGACACCAAAGAGAAAACAAGACGATGTTGGCTGTTGGGAAAGGCCCGCCCGCCCCCTTCAGTGAATCTTGGCATTGGGATTGGCTGTCTGGAGAGGGGCAGCCAGCCAATGGGGGGAGCTTCCTGAGGTCATGTGGTTGGAGGAGGCAGAGTTCAGAGGTTCTTTATGTGACTTACCAGCATGGACTACCCTTTAATCAAAGAGTAGAGAGAAAGGACAAAGTTAAACCAAGTTCCCTGGGCACTGTAAATCAAAAAGACTTTACAGCAAAGCCATGTAAGGGCAGACAAGAGAGTGAGACACGTAACAGGATTAGGCAATAAAACAAATTGCTCCATTAGAGAAAAAAAAAGAAAAGGAGGTGGACGGGTTAAAATGGAGTGAGGGGATGTCGCAGTCAGACCTGGGCAAAATGGCTTGTTGAACGCTTTTCAAATTTGTCCTTAAAAACACGAGAGGTACTTGAGTATCACTTATCTGACAGGTGTGGTTTCCACATAAGGGTGTGTCCAAAGATCCTAGCAGATAAATCAAGTCCTCTTCAAGTAATTCAAACATTTGAAACTCTTTCAACTTAATTTTTTAGCCCAGGTCTGGTGGCACTTCTTGCAGACATGACAGGTTGCTGCTGTGGGGGATGGTCAGTGGAGAACTAGGAAGGAACTTACCAGGCCGTCTGGACCAGCGTCTGGTTCTTCTCACATTCCAGGACTTGGAGGTACAAGACGATAATCTGAAATCACAAAGTGGTTGCATAAAAAAAACAGGAACAGCCACAAGTGTGTCATTTTGTCAATGAGAAGTGAGAATAGGCTATCGAAGCTGCTTCCTGTGTGGTTGCATCTGCATGGAGGAACAAAGCTGCAGTAACTAAACTACACAACACAATTACCAGTAGTCACGAGTGAGGCTTTAACTCACCTTGTGTGGATGCTTGACGTGGACACAGAAACCCAGCTCCTTCAGGACCCGCCGTTCCGCTTTGATGACTTGGTTTTTGGTATTTATGTAGTTCTGATCAAGTATCAATGAACTTGGAGTCCTAGTTTATAAAGGAATCAAAATAAAATAATGTTTCCCCTTTCAAAATAAAAGTTAAAAAGAAAGTGCCCTTCTGCTTTCTTGCACTCTTTTCTTTTTTCCGTTTCAACCAACTCAAAGCAACAAGTTTAACTGTTTAAATGCCTGACAGTTTGCTGGGGTTTGTGGACTCCTGTGGTTCCAGTGAAAGCTTATGGGATCTGCAGACAGCCCTCGACCTCAATCACCCCATGTCACAGCTTTAATAGAAATATCAACTCAGATCATCACCCACATTACTACCTCAGCATACAAAAACTTTATACTATTCAAACTTCAACTGTCCACTCAAATAAAACCGCAAACATGCTATAATGAGCTATGTCAAAGTCATTCTCACCTCTTGCGAAGTACTGTATAGGTTAGTATAACATAGCAAAAACCACTAGTACGACTACTTTTCTTTTGTTAATAGTACAGCAGGGTACGCAGACTCAAAGAAAATATATAAAGCTATTGTATTCCTTCTCCAATGAATACATTTCACTGTAAACAGACCGACACCAACCTACATGACACCTGCTGATTAAAGCAGATTATTTCGACCCAAGCAGATCTACAATTGGAATTTTACAATTAAAAAAAAATCTTTCTGGATTCAAAATCTTGGATTACGTGCATTCTGACTATGAGTCTGTTCATAGGCTGTCAGCCTCCCTATTATGTACTATTCATGATATATGCGACATACGTAACAAGAAAATCTATATATGACTTTAAAAAATCTGACTGACATCTTTGTAACACATGTGGTGTTGATTCAGCATTTGAGCTTTTCAGAACCAAAGTTCAGATCTAAACTTAGTATTTTGATTTCTCAAATAAACATAAGCTTAATTGTGAATACGGTCATGCTACAAACCACATGCATGGAAAAACTCCCAGGAGCAGTGTTATATCCATTACTAAACATGACAATTTAAAGCCAAAATCCACGTCTAAAAAAACAAGACTTACTACAAGTGCATCACACTTACTTTATTTCCTTTACTTTGATTCAATTTAACTTAACCTTAATATAATGCCAAACTACCAAAGCTACAGTGCATGCACTGACCCTAAACCTAAACATAACCCACGTGGACTACAGGTATCGAATTAAATAGTCTACCTTCAACAAACAAGGTGATATTTCTATAAAAGCCATGGGCAACAGTTGGTGAATGGGGTTTTGCTCTTTAAGCACAAACAAAATGCATGGTGAGGAGCAGTCAGAGAAGAAAACTACATTACCCAATGGTCCGCAGATTGACGGACAGATACCCAAAGCTTAAGATTGAACCACAGGAGTCCTCAAGGCGCCCCGGGGGCCAAGGACCTTCGGCCAACCTGTCATCCCCGATCCCAGTGCCCCTCGGTGGCTCAGACCACGGGCGTCTCCCACAGGAGGGGTGGGGTGGCCCTGGGGGAGGAGAGACCCCCTTGCATCATGGTTGTCATGCCGACTGCTTCATCTTACGTACCATTCCACATCACCCAGGCTTTGGTAAATGTAGCTGGTCGCTGTTAGTTGGTTGCAAGGGAAAAAAGAAGCCAAGTTAATGCCAAGGCCTTTAGTATTGACATGTACAGATTTCTATGAAGACGAAGGCACACACAGATTAAGCAGGCGTGCCTTGTCTTACAAATCCTAAAATGCACTCCACTTTTTAAAGTGAGCTTGTTGAGATATCAATTTCAGTGTAATGCCAAACTCTGATGTTATATGTAGACAACTACACGTCTGAAACTACCAGTGAAGCGGAAACTGAAAAGTTTTAAAATGGTTTAGAGTACATGGATAAACAGAAGAGCACTTTCACAACAAAACAGATCAACATTGTACAACATTTAACATCATACTGAATAAAAACAAATGCAATGTAACATGTTCCGTTTAAAAAAAAAAACAAAAAAACATTATTTCCAAAAAGGATTCAATGTCGATGCTTACTTTTTGCCTCTGATCTGTCTGAGGTGGTGGAAAACATTGATGACGTCTCGTATTCGCCGCGGAGCTTCTTCAATCTTGGAGGCCAAGTTGATACAAGCCATAGCAACAATCTGGGAAGAAGATAATTAAAGCAAAAAGGTTGGGAGGAAGAGTTCCAAAACTTAGGATATGCAACCTAAGAGACGTTGCCCACAGGTGGTCAACAGGGTTGGGCAAAGTAACCGAATATACAAGAAAACACATTTAATAAGAGATCATATACGGCCCGTTTATACTAAGGCAGCGCCTGGTTTAATACTGTAAACCTGTGAGCGAGACTAGTTTAAGGGAATATTGAATTAATGCAATATTTTAGCATTAAGTTGACACAAGATAAAGGTAAATATACTGTGATTAAGGTTAACTTATCTCAGAATATCAAAACTATATAGTAGTACTGATTGTGTTCATAAGATTAATGTTAGTTTGTAAAGAGACTGGTGCTGTGTAAAGTCACACTGACCAGATAAAATCTGAACCTGGAATAAAGTGTGCTAAATAAATGTGTCATGTTACAAGTACTTGTCTGACTTGAGGCTTTTTGTTAATCAACTTTTAGTCGGTGATTTGTTTCGCACTGTAGTGTCTTCGGTATGGCCCCCTCTTTGTCTTACAGCAGTTCAGAAACTCTGCTACAACGTATCGACAATATGGCTGCCACGAACGTAACCACAACGTTACGCTATGCTAACATTACCGAGCAAGCACCGGCCCGACAACGAGCCATGAACCTGGTCGTACTTACCTCAAAGCTGTGTTTGACGAAGGACTTGGAGTAGAAAAAGCGGTGGAAAAGCACCTGCCCCGTTGCCATAGCCACCTGTCGAGAAAAATACAGAGCACGACGGTTAGACTTTGTCTCTGGCCTAACCTTGCACAATGGACCGCCGCCATTTTAACTCCACCACGCCATCGTCTGAGCGCTAACATTAGCACGCTGCTAACAACCGGGGCTGTGCCGTGTTGTGGTCTAGAAAAACCCACCGACTGTCGACCGCTACATGTAACGTTATACGTGAGATGTTTTACCTATTCAACGAGGCTCACCTGGGGTAACCGGAGAAGAATACCCGCTGACTGAATCAGTTCACATCCGAGGATGCGAAGGTCGGTCTCCGTGTTCAGGTCGAGGCCGTCAAGCATCGACGGCGTCGGGGAGAGCCTTTCCTCCGGTATGAGCGAGTTGTCGATCGTGAGGTACACTTCTGAGTAAACTTTATCCCCAATGAGAATGCCATCGTTGTTTGTAGACGCGTTGGACGATACAGAGAGAGGACCCGCAGCCATCTTCACCAGGAAAAAAAAAACACACGGCGGTTTACAGCTACAGCTACAGCTTCAGCTTCAGCTCAGCCTCGACGGGACGACGGCGGAGCGGGGTGAGTGACCGAGCGCGTGACGTCACCATCCTGTTGAGACTCATGCACATCCGCCGTGGTAAAATAGTCCCGCAATATTGAGCGAATTGACCGAAAACAAACCTACGTTGATTTATTTACCGCGTTCACAAGCTGGTACTGGAATGTAACACGTATTAAATATTTAACTGTATCTTTCTATTGTTTCTTTATTTACCCTTTGTTAACTTCCTTTATCTCACCTGTCTATAGGCTACAGCTGTAGACTCGGACACAGTCTAAATACAGTTAGTTAACGTTTCGTATTATATATTATTATATTAAAATAAAGAGTTAAACAGATCAACTGACCCGATGTACAATAATGTTGATATTGTTGTTTTCATCATTACAAATGCTACGTTAATGATGCTCCCTTCAAGAGCCCTGCGTAAACGCGACTGTCCAATTTCAAAAACATTTAAGATGACAAATAAAGACAAATGAACGCTACAACAATAATTGTTTGTCAACAGTTTCATTGTCACAATAAACCGTCTAAGACCCTCTGATCCGGCAGCCACAGAGAAAATGCCAGGAAATGTGTATTAGGCATGTAAGACCATTTTTTCAATCAACTAATGGCAGCAGTTATTAAACAGATGCTTTGTTTTGCCATCAACAGCAGCACTGCCCCCATACATTTGCCCCTTAAACGTCACATCAATCGTTGGCGATAGAAGCATCTCACTAAATATTTTAATTAACGTAGTTATTGTTGTTTCCGACTTCACCCAAAGGCAGCACAAGGAAGCAACTCATCACCACCAACGGTTTCTGTGACGTATTTTACGGGAAAGTCCGGACTTCTCGCCACTACGTCTGGAACATATCCATCCGCCAATTAAAAAAAAAAAAAAAAAAAAAAGTAATAGCAGCAATTTACCAGTTTTATTAACTAAGTCATTGTTTGCCTAATTTACCCACAGTGTACAGGAAGTCAGCAATGTCTACTACTAGTCATTTTATATTTAACCGTTTAAATATACAGCAAGCCAAACAGAGCAGGACAAAATGGTTCAAGACAAATTACAAACTTAATTTGAAGACTCTGGCATTGATTGGGTGAAAGAAGGTGCAGCTCCATATGCACAAGTAATTACCAGGAACATTTTGTTCACTCACCGTCCAACCCCTCAGGATTTAATGGCCAGAGGCCTTGCAGTAACTACAGACGGACAGCAGAGTGAACTAGAGACACACCAATGGAGGTTTCTGAAAATTGGGTGCTTTAAGTGAAGCAGTGGGCATGATGTTTGATTTGCTCAGAGCATTTGCAAATTAGTCTGAAGATGCCATGCTAGACATATGGCCCTACACTGCTGTAGTGTGTGTGTGTGTGTGTGTGTGTGTGTGTGTGTGTTGCACTGTACTGTATGTGTGTTTCTGTGAATGTTGTATGTACATTCACAAAATCTTTCATTCATGAAATCAGCAAGCCATCTTGCAGCTGGTTTACTGTGTATCTTGGCTTGTTGCAAGGGCAAATCCAAAGCACGTCATTTTGCGATTTGATCAATAGTAAATTTGTCGGGGAATCTACACCACTAAAGTAAAATATCAACTGTGGCGGATCCTGCATTCTTACATCATCTTGAGGCCCTGTCTTGTAGACGGGCCTTACGTCAAAGTCTAGTTTTAAGAGCTTAATTAATTTAGTTCATGTCAGTGGTTTCCAACATTTAAGATCAAGACGACCCCATAAAATGAAACAGCGTCTGCTTGCAACTTCTTGTCACAGGTCCTCCAAAGGCTGATTTTCCATTTCAAACGTCTCAGATTGTTTAATTTGAATACCTATCTAATACTGATATTTCACAAAAAAGCTATTTGTTTCGTGTAGGAAAACAATGTTTTTCCTTCTTTTCTATCCTCTTCTATCTTGTGACCCATTGGGTTTACATTATGCTCACATGGTGCATATTCCTAAATTAAGTTGTTTTTAATCAAATTACCACAAACCAACAGACACATAGCAATCCTAGGGACCAGGCAGTTTTCTAGCAACAAGAGCTCTGTTTTTATTGTTGGGTCTGCAGACGAGTATAGTGATATTGCCACGTTTAGTCCTTTGTGTGCGGTGTACACGGAAACAGCAGGGTACACACATACACAACTCACAGAGGGAGGAAATGGGGAGTTCAGTAGGAGACCAAGAGCAAATTATTACCCCGAGTCCCACTAACACTTTAATCCCTCCATGGCTGGTTATTTCCTGAGGTTATATACACTCAGTGGCCACTTTATTAGGCACGTGCAGAATCAAATGCAAGCCAATACAACAGCTCAGCCATACTTATTTTTGTTTTACAAAACCGATAATGTTCAGTTTTGATTGACACGACAAGGCATTCATTTAACTGTATGTTCATCACTAAGGTTGTAGTTTGCAGTGCTGTTGCACTGGACTACAATATACTGAGAGGTATGCTGGGTGATGGGGGAGTAATATTGGAAAACACATGTCAATATAATGCAGTTCAGCATAACACCACCATTAACAATGGCATCACCAACAGACATAGATGGTTATAATAATAATAATAATAATAATAATAATAATAATAATAATAATAATAATACATTTTATTTATAAGCGCTTTTCAGGATACTCAAAGACACTTTATATTTATATTTAATTCATATATATTTATATTTATATTATATTTACACCTCTTTGATACACAGACTATTATTTTAAGCTTTATAAAAGTAGAATATGGAGCAGAGCTGTGGTATTGGAAGGCATTTTGTATAGGTCCACCTAACAGTGGCCAGTGTATATTTATGAGTGTCTGAAGCTATTGTAAGCACTAGCTGTAATAATGCAAACATAGCGTAAGGGTCTACGTTCATTGGCTGTTGACGCTGTGTGGCATGTAAGGGGCAGACAGAGATCCACACACAGATCTACCTCCTCAGTTTCACTAATACGCCACACGAGGTGGCAGACTGAGGTCTCATTGTCCCTGTCATTAACCAACACCTACAACCGGCACCTCCGGCCCTCGCACTTACGCAGTTACCACGACGACAAGAATACTGAGCATTCTTTCTCCGGGTTGCCTGGGTGACACTAATTATAGGGTGTGGGAGGGCTCACGGGACGGCAGAATTCCGGAACGACCATAACGACGCAGGAGAGAGGCGTTCAGGGACGCCCAGTGACGAACAAGGGCTCAGTTATACACACACGCCACTCCCTTGTGTGTGGCGTGTGTGTTTACGAGCAACTTGCACAGATTCCCCAAGGACACGTGTGCATGCCTGCCCTGCTATGATAATTACTGCGAGGAGATCACACTCCAAATGTGTGTGCATGGCATGTGTGTGTGTGTGTGTGTGTGTGTGCATATGAAAGTTTGTGCATGTGGGCTTTTGTTAAGGCTGATCTAATCTGAATGTTTAAGAGCGATCAAAACGCCGTTCATGACAACGTAATGGGGCTTTATGCTGTGTGCCCACGAACATATCAAGAGGTAGAAAGTGTTAGATGGAAATGTATCTATTCAGGACAGGTCTCTCTCAAACACCCACATGCTCCATGGCTCTTTCTCAAACACACACAAACCAGGAAGGACACCAGGTCAAGGGCTACAAAGCAAGGGCATGAGCAAAGGAACAAACGCCAGTAAAAGAGCAGAGGGGAGGAAAAAAGAGAGCTGACTGGATCAAAAATAAAGTGAAGGCACAGATAGCTGAGGAGGAAAGGCTGCAAGGGAATTGCTTTTTAGCAACAGAGTCAGAGGGGTTGAATACTAAAAGAAGGCCAACAAGATTAAAAGAATATTGACAGAGAGAGAGAGAGAGAGAGGTGTTTGTGTTTTGAGGGAGACAGAAGGAGAGAGAAAGTGTGTGTGTGTGTGTGTGTGGTCAGAGCAGACACAGGAGTGTTTGTGTGTGTGTGTGTGTGTGTGTGTGTGTGTGTATTTGTGCTGTGGGACGGAGCAGGAGCAGCTCCTCTGACTGGCAGAGAAAGAGGTTATATCTTCAAATACACAGCAGACATGCAGGTCACGGTTGGAGGAAGTTTAACAGGGATAAAAGGAAAGGTCAACGGTCAGAAGTGCATGTGCAGGGAGAATGTGAGCAGCGGTCAAAAAGGTCAGCGCATGTCTGGAACAGACAGTTTTCACGGCAGACATTATTAGTTGTCAAAACAGGAAAAGCACAGGTGTAAATAATAACATTAATGATGGCTCCATATAATTAAGTGTCCCACTAAGTCATGCCTTTTCTTGCTTCAACAAGTCAAAATATCTGGGTACGGGGTAAGTGTCAGACCTCATACATTTACATACATATACAAAAGTACTAAAGGTCGGCATCAAATATCTGGTGACATTGTTTGGCTTTAAAAGGTTGCTCAAGGTCCACTTACTCTTTTTTTGTGGTATTTTCTAAGTCAAGAATGAACTGTCAGGCTCAACCTTAAGCCAACAAGGAACATGGACGAGAATTGCTCTGAATAATGTGTTTAAACAGTTTAAACAGCTAGTTTCACGACAACTGAGCCAACCCCATCTGCTGATGAAGACCATGTGATACAGCCAGAAGCTTTGGAACAAGACGGTAAGTGAACCTTGAGTTGAGTCTGTTTTATCATCTGCTGGTTCAAAGGTAAAGAATGAACTCTCGAGGTATGGAAGGTATCATTTGGGTACAGAAACGCAGGTATCACACTGGCAGCAGTAAGCAGCAGCAGTGAAGACCTTCAAACGCTAACCACATATAAACACACACACACACATAACAACACTACATTGTGATGAAGACCATACAATTGATGTCCTTCAGTGACGTTACATGATTACAAAAAGTGAGTGATGGTGGCAGAAACAATCACTCACTGGAGACACACACACACATACACACAGCAAAGTCTCATGCAACGAGTAAACACACACAAGGCCACACACACTCAAACACAGGAAGGCAACAAGAAGTCAGCTGCAAAGCACAAAAGAAAATGTTACCATTGCCACATAAAGAGAACATGTATCGTTTATTGTTTATGGTAACTAAGATTTAACCAAATTGATCAAATTAGCTATAAAACCTAAATGAATTTCTTCACTGAGAATTAATGAGTTCAGGAAAAAACACACACACTTATGTTTAGTAACCCTCTGACTAAAACAGAGGAGGTAGAACATTTTTGTTTCAACGACACCAAATGTTCTGTTTTATATTTCAGAACGTCCTCACCAAGATTCGTAGCAGATAAACCGTGTGTGTGTGTGTTTTGGCAAACAGAGGAAACGTTGGCAGGAGAAAATCATTATCATCCCACCTTGCTGTGTGAACTGCGTGCACATGCATTGTCTCGCAGATGTATTGGAAGAGAGGGACACGGGGAAGTCAAACTAAAAGCTTTCCATGTGTGCCAGTAAGCGGGGAAATGAGTTCCATGCCACACACACACACACACACACACACACACACACACACACACACACACACTTCACGCATTTCTCCCATCATGCCAATTCATCCCAAATGTAGAGGGAGAGGAAGAGAGGGAGGGAGGGAGGGAGGGATGGAAAGACCTTGCACGGAGTGAATGATGTCAATAACACACAATGCCTGAGGGGAGAGTGTTGGGTAATTGTAGTGTGTGTGTGTGTGTGTGTGTGTGTGTGTGTGTGTGAGAGAGAGAGAGAGAGAGTGTGTGTATAGTGGTGCATGCCTTACAGTTTCTTTTGTGTTTGCCTGCCTTTTGTTTGTGTCCACGGGTGGCAAGGGACAGGCTGTCATGCTCCTTCAGCCCTGCCCTTGTGACAGGCTGTGTGTGTGTGTTTGCATGTGTCTGTGTGTATGTGTGTGTGTGTGTGTGTGTGTGTAGACTCTGTCTGTGAAATGCTGTGCGTGCCAGTGAGACTGCGTGAGTCGGGTTGTGAGAAAACAAGTGCATGTCTGTTGTAGAGTGTGTGTCCTGGGAGTTTACTGGTGTACGAACAGGATTCAGTAGTTGTGTGTTGCGTGTAAAGTGTGTATGTGTGTGTGACTTTTACAGTAGGCAGTTAGAGGAATATTTGACTAAAATACACCTGTTATTAAATTTTAATTGCTAGTAATATTAAAGTACTTTAAAATTACAATCAAAATAATACTTCAGAAGAACACTAAAATTATGTTTTATTTTGAACAGGTGCAGTAAATGTTTAATACACACATGGTCCGGATTGCTCTTTACAGTCTCTCTTTCCTCTCCATTACTAAACTGACCTTACGTTTGACTTCGCTCACTGTGCTGCTCGCTTTTAGTCTGGGCAGTGTCCCCTCTCGCTTCTTTTCTCCAGCTAACACCCCATCACGATTCCAGGACTCCAAACTCCTCCCTGCTCCTCCTCCATCTGTGCCCCAGCCTGTGTCTTTGTCTGCGCTGGCAGGGGAGGGTCGGAGTGTATTTGGGGAGTTCAAAGAGCGAGTGAGAGGTACCCGGGCTTGACTATGGAGATGGAAATGCTTGTTCCCCAGTGGGGGGTGTCTCTCCATGGGGTTCGGAGGAGACCTGGAGAAGCCCTGATGAGACGCTGGGGATCGCAGCCCAAGGAGCTCCTCTTGAGCTTGAGACAGAGCAGCAGTCAGCTCCTCCCTCTCCTCACACTCCCTTCTTACTGTCTCCTGGAGGAACACCACCTGGAGGGGAGAGAGATAGTATATTAAGAAGTAGATTTTAGTTTAGTTCAGGAGCTGTTGTCAAAAACAAAGACGTTTTGATATCACAGTGGCACACCAGTTTTGGTATCATTGTGCCTCTACAGAGACAAAAACAAAATCTGTGCTCACTGAAAGTGTCGGCACAGAAATGCTGGATGGTGGAAGGAAAATCTGTAGTTTGGCAAGAAATAAACCACAAATTGTCATTTTTACATTTTCTTAAGACTGAATTAAGATGGACACCTTTGTAGTGTGTGAGAGAGAGAGTGCAAGGCAGAGGGAGATAACAGGGAGTATGGTCTGAGAGAGAGAAGAAGAAAGTTATGGAGATTTAGGCTAGAGACATGCAAAAACAAAACCAGACAAACAAATAAGGAAAAAGCTTTACTTAATATGAAAAGAAACTTGGATGCAGAAGATGAAGGTGGTCATTCTGAGCAGCTTGCTGGCACTGATACAAACCGGCAACAATCAGGGAGATTCGGTCAACAAGACCCACACAGGCAAGCTACCCTAGCAAAGTCACAGCGTTCCAGTATTAATAGCACGTACAGCACAGGATCATGCACCAAAAAAAAGCAGCTGCTAACAAGCTGTAGCACACAGCGTACAGACACAACTAGCTACAGACTGGAAGAAGAATATGAACTATTCATGCAGATTAAAATTGATACACACGACACTAAAACTGTTGGTGCTTGGAGGTGAACATGTGATACATTATATCATTAACATCTTCAGGTCTATTGAGAAATCGAGCTCTCACTCTCACTGAGTCAAATGTGGTTGAAACTACAGCTCTTGTTATGTGACAGCCAGACAGAAAAAAGAAAAGCTGCTCACTTTAAATCTTAAGCCAAAGTTTAAAAAAAGCTGCTCTCACAAATGCCCTTCATCAGCTTTCTCATCACTTTGCATGCATTTCCTACCAATACGGCGCACAGCCATAAATACTGATCACTGGCTCATTTAATTACAAACACGTGCCACTTGAATGGTTTACATCATTACGACCATCTGCGGTTTGATAACAGACACGTGTTTTATGCAACCTAAAATGGTCAGGTGACAAACGCAAATACCAGAATTGAAAAGACACTTAATGGGAGATTCAGGGAGATTTGGACTTATCATAAACAAATGACTTTCAAATTTGGCACACATTCTTTTAAAACAAAAACAACAAAACAAAAATTGCCAGTGGGTTAACATACGGATTGTAATGCATTTGAAATAAAACCACTTTACTGGCATCAAGATAATGACACTTTAATGACAATATGTAACTATTATTGAACCTTGGCCACTGTGGCTACAAGTGATGTTACAAAATAATGTAACATAGTTTCAGTACCTCAAAAGGTCAGTGAACTGAAACCAGAGTAATGCAGTACTGTACCAAATGATCAACAGAGTGATTTATTGCAAATTAATTTAATTTCTTTGTTCGTAAGAGGAAGACTGTTATTTCTTCTTTCAAAAGTTATACAGACTAGCTTTAAAAGAAATGTTAAAAACAATTTGACCAATTTAGACATATTAAGCTTTCAATCCCACTTTCATAAATGTGTCAAATATCACATGAAACTCCTTGTTTCGGTCAAACTTAATCGCCAGATAGAGAAACTAAGCGCAGTATGAGACATAATAATTTGTGAGCTTTTAACATTCTGACTGGCCAGACTGTACATTCACCAGTCCATCAGTCTGACCAGTAATTTGGTCCTTGTCTGATCTGTGACGCTATCTGAAGAGCTCCCTCGTGCAGGCATGCAGGATGATTATAGGTTAAGGAATGATCCAAAACATAGGTTGCGTTAGTGGTTGTATATCTCACAGTATGTATCTCTCTACTGTCAGGTGTTACAACACTGTATGCACATATTTTGGAAGAACACTCTGCTTGTATGTACAGCTCTGCCGAGGGGATCCCTGTATGTCCAAATCTGTTCAGTGAGGGAAATCCCCAATGATGATGGACACAGAAAATGTGTGTATATTCTCTTTTTACACCCATAGTTAGTGTGTGGCTTTCTTTTTATGTGTCTGTAATTGTCAACATATGTGTATGTGTGTTAATAGGTGCCTATATGCCACTATATCCATGTTCCATGTGTAGTGTCTCACGCCTCATGCCATTGTATGCAATTATTGTGAGAGTGTGTGTGAAAAGTCTGCACACACGTGTTTCGCCACTTCCTTTCTGTGTGTGTATGCATTACTTGAAATGTGAGTCTCCTTCCTGCCCGTTTATATGCAGGCATGTGTTAGATCCCGCTTGTGTGTGTATGTGTGTGTGTGATGTTGTGAATGCCGGTCTAGCTGTGGAGAGAGACAGCCATCATTAGGGGCTCCTAGTGAGAGCAGGATTACAGGGCTAGTGGATGGAAATCACACGCAGACCCAAAGAGCCCCTGCTTTTAATCTAACACTGTAAACCACATTTCACCTAGCAACACACACACGCACACACACACAAGCACACACACGTACACACACGCACACACACATACACATACACATACACACAAGGACTCATTTTTGACCTTGTGTGTGACCTTAGGGCTGTTAGCAGGAGGTTAAAGGTCAGGCGTCTTTTCCCTCAGACACCGTGACCTTTTCCTGGTCCATCTGCAACAAAGCCAGAGAGGGAGGGGAGGGGTGAGAGAGGGAGACGTATAAACAACATAAAGAAAGAAAGACAGAGAGAAAGAGTTTGGGTGGAGGAGAGAAAAAAAACAAAGCAGAGCATTGAGGGAGGGAGAGAGATTCAGACTGAATGGGGGACTATCAGTGTGTGTTCTTGTTGTGTGTCTGTGAGCACAATTACACTCTTAAGCTTTACTAATTTCCAAGACATTAAACTACACTTTAAAATGTATATATAATCTTTTAAATTACTGGTACTTATGTTTTGTCAATAAGTAAAGTGGTGACAATAGCGTGGTGATTTATTGGATACAACCTTAAGCAAGGGCCATAAGGTCCTCAGGTTAAACATTTGTTGGTAGAGATGCCATTTAAGTATGGAAAAGAATGGCAAACTCTTGCATTACAGTAGTATAGTTCAACATTTTATTTCATTTTTGTTCAGTTTCTGTGAAAATTAAACTCAAAATGACTCATTCAACCCAATATATTTATTATTTTGTTGTCTTGAAAACTTACTGGGTGAAAGGTCCCTCATAAGCTCCAACACTTCATGATGAAAATGCCTATTTGACATTGCAACAGTATCTTGGCAACAGAGCGATATCACAAGGTCATGATCAAAACCTGATTATCTCTGACCAACACACACACGTACAAACATTGATAGATCAATAAAACTTTTATAAAGAAAAGGATGATAGAAGCTTGGGTTTGTATTAGATAAGAACTACGAGAGATCATTAAAAACAGAACTGAAGAACAGAGTCAAAAGGCTAGGAACACAGAAAGAAAGAAAAAGAAAAAAGGAAGGTCATCTAAAGGGATTATACTGATTGATCTGCTCTAAAACTACAGGCACAGCATATAAAAAATGCCCCCTTTAAATTAGATGAGAAGGAACAGAAAGAAAAGGGTGGTGGGGGGAAGGAGCTGCTGTGCTGAAGGTCCATGAATGAGATAAAAGAGCATGTCAGCTGTGAAATTGGCATCAGGGCACCTTGAACTGGCTGAACCTATCTGGACAGGCACTCTGAGAGGGAGGCAGTTAAAGAGACAGTGGGTGAACGGAAAGGGAGGGCTGTTAGACTGCAGCAGTACAAAGCCGAGCTGGATGAGGGAGTGAGGAGGAGAGGGAAAGGGGGTGATTAGAAGAGGAGGCACTGACTTGACTTAGTGACCTTTTCTAGACTAGAAATGAATGCCAGTCTCCCACCTTAAAGGACCAGTGTGTAAGATTTAGTGGCATCTTAGAGTGTAGTTGCATCCTCCACTTGCAAGCATAAAAAATAAACTATGGTGGCTATGAAACTGACAAAAAACACTAAAGGTATATGGTTCAACACGATAAACTCCATGGAAGGCGACCGCAGCGCCTGTAGATAAAAACTGCAAGGTAACGATATATTCAGTTGATTATACACTAATGAAAACGTACCTATGAATATTTCATTCCATTTTTTCCAATAGATCCTCCTAAATGTTACACACTGGACCGTTTTCTGTTACTAACCTGTGTATATTCACAAATCATCCACCTTAGCTGAATCTTTCTCCAGCTTTAAATCTGAACCATTATTCCTAACAGACGTTCATAGAAAGACCCGCTGTCCGCAGCCTTCAATGAATCTTCTGTGGTGGCGCACAATAGACAGTATAGTCTCATTTCTGCAGCATGCAAACAACTGCTAACTGTCAAAGATGAAATGCAAAATTTCAGTGTGAGCTTTGACCCCTCATTTACAAATCCACTGGTATTCTGTACATTTTCTAAAGAGGTTATGCTGTCACCCTTGCATAAATGAATACGGTGTTTGGCTGAGAGTTTTCTATGTATTTAGCTTTTTAAGGTTTGTACTCAATACAAACCAACTGTGTGCTTTGATTTAAATTTTAAAGCTGCATTAATTGCTATTTCTATATTAACAATGGATTAAATGGCTACGTATAATGTAAAATAACTATTATACGAAGCATTTTAGCGTCTTTCAGCTCATTGTTTTGGTTTTACGACTTTACAGTTTAGCCAGTTTGCCCACTTGCTTTGTGTTTGCTGGATGTGCAAATAGACAATTGTTTTCCAGCACATTTGCCGTATTAACTGTAAAAGTTGAAAATATGTGAATGTTGTGTTTATGACTTGTTTGGCTGCTCCTATTTGGCCAAAAAATAAATTAACAATGCTTAAATAAAACTTAACACTTAAATACGTTGTGACAACAGGCTCCCTCATTATGAAGTAGATGAAAGCAAAAAAGAGATAAAAATAAAGAAGCAGGAAGTAAAATGAGAAATAAACTCAAGGGAAAGTTGAGTTAGAAAGGTGTGTTTGTGTATGTGACTGTGTGTGTTAGTGGTCAGACACACAAAGAGATACACACACACACACACACACACACACACACACACACACACACAATATCTAGCAAAGTCACTCTTACTCATCACTTTAGGATGCTCTGCTTCCTGTCCTATCTTTATTCTTGTTCATAAAACGTGCTCCCTTGCCCTCTTTCATTCACTCCCTCACACACAAATACACCGTTGCCTTCCTTCCTTCGGGCTCTACATATGTACGCCTCATCCTGCTTCCCCAATATACTGCCTCCCTCTTTTCACGTTTTGTTTCAAAATTTAATTCAGCTCTATTTGGATGGTGCTGGCACAGAAAACCATCACTGCGCACTCTGCTGCCAAAGCAAATATGAACTGTGTCTGTCTCTCTCTCTCCATTTAAACTCTCTCACTTTCTTTAGCTGTGACCACACTCACACAAACGCACACTTACTAAGTTTAATCCAGCTCTGTTTGAATAGTGCCGGCACAGAAACACAACAGTAGGATACATACAAAACAAATGCAAATCTCTCTTTGTTTTGTCTGTCTTTCTTATTCTTGCGAGGACAATTAAACGCCACACAATGGAGAAGCATTAGCAAAACGTACACACACACTCACCCCCCCCCACACACACACACACCTCCTCTTGTAGTTCAGCATTCCTCTCAGTCATCAGCTGTAGTTCAGCTTTAGCTTGGCTCAGCTGTAGTGCCTCCTGCTGTTGGGAGTGCTGCAGCTCCTGGCGTATTTCCTCCTCTCTCATCTTCCTCTGTTCCACTCTGCTCCTTCGCTCCTCCTGCAGTCCTCGCAGCTCCTGCTCTCTTTCCTTCAGCTAGAAAAGATTAAAAAAATACATTCTGATTTGTATATATTTACATTTTCATTTAACTATGATTTTTCAACTGTTAAATGGCTAGAAACTTGAGGCTCACTTTGGATTTGTTCTTTGCTCGCTCATTAATACATCTCACATGTGACGTCTCAAACACCACAAAAAAATTACGCTTTTCAGCCATTTTCACACCGACTCACCGAACTGTGTTGCAAGACTCAAGATCAAGATGACATGAGTGTTACCAGCCTTCTTTCGTCATACAGTATGTTGGCAACATGTTTTCTGTTACCTACAGTTTGAACAGGAAGTGGGTTGGTGGGGAAGCTGCCACGCCAGACGCAATGGGAGCTGAAGGGGTTGAGTGGGAATTTTCAATTTTACAACACTATGGAAAATCATTTACTGTCACAACCTGCCATATTAGTGGTCTATTGAAACATCCGTATGTTTTGGTTGTTACTCATACTGCAAAACACTGTTCTCTTGGCTCATATACATTTTAGGGTGTGGCCAACAGCTTGTTCACCTAATGTGTCAATACTTTCTGTTGTCTCACCCTCACTGTCTAGATTTAAAGTCTCTTTCTTTATCACATCAGTTCCACGCAGAGATTAACCACAGAGTTATTCACACGTCTGCATGAATGTGTGTCAGTAGTCTGAAGAGAGTGTGAAGGCATGTAAGGGAATTAATCACACACACACACACACACACACACACACACACACACACACACAAACATGAGGAGGAATACTGACAGTAACATAGACTGATCAGACAAGCATTACACGCAGAACAAAGTGGTCTTAAATAGCTGGAAGGTAGAAACTCGCAGACAGTGGATGTAGAGGAAAGTGAAGCAACCAAAGGAGAAGAAGAAAGACAGGGCAAGAAAATAAAAGTATATATACTGAGTGAAGCACATGCTCTGCCCACTGAATGATCTATCTTCATCACTGATTTCTTCAAAAAATATGGTAAATAAAAAGAGGAAGGGGAAGAGGAGGGCATGGAAAAAAGGAAGGTTAATGAAGAATAACCATTACAATAACAATTGTAAGCAGTCTTTTACAAATGCATGTCATTTATATATTTTTCCGAAGCAATGTTGTGTTGTGTTTAGTGGTAATTCTTATTCATTTTCATTATCAACATCAACAGCTACACACCTTCTGCTGAAGTTGTGTGCTGTCTCGCTGGTACTGTTGAAGCAGCAGTTGGTTCTTCTCCCTGTCAATTGTCAGCTCTAACTCCGCCTCCCTGCGGAGCTCCTCCATCTGCTCCCTCAGGTGCAATGCATTCTGGGTTCGCTGCTCTTCCAGGGCAGCAGCCAGCTACAAAATCAAAGACAAAGGATACATTGACACCCAGTTGAGTGTGTGTTCATTCTCACACACAGTGATGACAACGCTAGTGCACATATATCTTTCCCATTTTAAATGTTTTACCATATCAATGACATTAGTGTATCTATAGTGTGTGATGAAAACTCCAAGTAAAGTTCAGTCTAGCCCACATCCTAAGGCCTGTCTCTAATTCAGAGTCCTAAAAGAGACCATGAAGTGTGGATTTTTTCATGATATAAACAGGAAGGAGGAAGTTCACACAAAGCTTTGTCACAGAGTTTAACAAGAAGCACCGAGACAGACATAAGGAGACAGCAGTGGTGTATCAAATTGCTGGGTACAAAACACTCACACAACCTGAAAATACAACCTTTGAAAAGTTTTGTAGCTGCCAGGAAGGTTTTTGAAATGATCTGGCATTGTTCTCTTACCCTTTAAAACACATCAGTGCTTCTGTAAACATATTTAATCTCAAAATACTGTGTCCTACCCACAGTGTCTAACCTCTAAAAGACACTTTTGACAAAGCGTTAATGTTCCATGTTCAGTTTATATTATCGCTGGTGCGAGATATAAATAGAAACAATGTCTTAACCCTTTTCAGAGTATATGAGAGGGGCTTTGGTTATACAAAGCTTTCTCACAGAGTCTGACTGGTCTAGTCATCATACCCTGGCAATAAAAAATTAAGCGGCAGCTTTGGCTCTTGTAAGAGTGGGGCCGAAGTTTGCGTGTGACATATTTTTATTCAGGCTCGGCCAAGGCTACCTTGTTTTCTGCAAACTGGGCTGGGATCATTGTGGCTGTGAGCTGTGTGTGTGTCTCTATCTGTTTGTGCCATTTATGCGTGCAAGTGTGAAGAAAGAGAAATAGTGGATGTGGGCGTCCCAAAAAAAAAAGATGTGTTAGCGTGTGAAAATGTGTATATTTGGGCCTCTGTGTGTGCGTGTGCACTGTGCTTGTGGTTTGAGAGACTGTATGAAAGACGAAGATTGCGTGTGTTGGATCAAATGAGAAAGCACCACTTCCTCTTTGCTGGGTGAATGTACGTGTGAGGAGCATGGATGGTTTATGTGTGTGTATCCTTTTGTGTGTATGAGTGTGTGTACACAGCTGCTGTTTGTATTTAAAAAGTGCAGAAGAGTGACCACTTCCTTTCCATGAGTAAAGCCCATAATGAACAATAACCTGTATGGACATGTGTGAGGGAGCCGGCCGTTTGCATAATCAATCTTTGTCACATGGCATCTACTGCATTGACATTTGTTTCTCAGAATGTTCAGCACTTTTTGGGAGAATAAGCCAAACATAATAACACAACTGTGATAAAAAAAAATGCACACAGTGGGTTTCTGTGATGCAATTTGTGGGGTTAAATGTGTTTTGCAGCAGAACTGGGTCAGTGGTTGAGATCAAGTACATGCCATATATGACATAGTGCGCAAACAGAACTGCTACAAATTCTCAACATTGCGGCGTGCATAAGAATAAACAAGTAAATAAATTACTACAGACACAAGAACTGGACATACTTGTAGTCTGAGCAGTCCCATTCATTTAACATCACAGTACAGTAAAGCATAAAAAAAATATCAACCATCTGTGCTTTTGAATACGTTTGAGAGTTCTTGTTGTTCTGGCTGACGATATGCAAACCAAAACCTTGTGAAAACAGACGTGGTCATTTGCACCTGTGAAAGTTTACAGAAATCCCCTTTTATCTGTATTTTACCATTTTTATGCAAAGTGACTGGTCAGGATTACAAGCTATTTCCCTTTTAATGCAAACACACAATGATAATGGTAAAGTATACAGTACATAACCTCACAACTGGTGCAATGGACCTCAACCTCAAAATCTGTATCATTAAAACCAGTAATGACCTGATCCTTCTTAATAAATATACAGCAACAATGTTTTTCTTATATTAAAATTAATTTGTAAAAAAAAAAATTGCAACGGAAACAGAACGGTGACTTGAAAGTTCCTCTTTATTGTGACGATCAACTCAACCTCGGTGACTCTTGCCGCCAGACAGGCAGAGAGTCAGACAGCGCAAGAGACACTACTACACTGTTTGACTAATAAAAGACAGATTGGTTTTGTGTGTGTCTGTGTGTTTGTGTGTGTGTTTAGTTTATCTTGTGTCAAACAGACTGGTGGTCTTGGAGCCTCATAATCTTATCCACATTGTGTGTGTCAGGATCCTCCCTGTTAAACTCCTCTGAACTGTGACAATGGTTTGGATGCTGTCCTAACATCTATTTACTCCAACACACTGGAACTAAATGCTGCCAGTCATAAAGAGATACACCCACAGTCATATATATCCAGATACAATACGAGGCAATTAGATTTACTGGTAAAACCTTTAGCTGTAGTTATAAGAATGTCTGGGTCAGTCCTTAATGACTTCCTGCCGACACTGGGCCAGAGTTTATTTTATTATACTTGAAATTTTTTTTTTCCTAGAGAGTTCAGCTGCATGGCATTCCTGTAAAGTTGAATTGAATCAAAATTAGCAGGAAAATATGTTAACATCTGCTCACTTCCTCACAAAGCTGTGTGGTTCCATTGTTTTAAAGGTAAAGGATCATGCTTTATACTGATCAATACAATGAAATGCCTGGATCTAGATCTGTCCATGAACTGGCTTAGGGGCACATCTACTGAGTTTGTTTGTGACTGTTATTACTGCAGTTATTGTCTAATCAGTAGTTATAGGGTTATTGTTAGTATTGGTAGATCATTACCTTTGAGGCTATTTGCTGTCTGCAGTCTTCCTCCATCTTGGTCAGGGTTCTGCCATGTAACTCAGTCAATATCTCCCTGTAAACACAAGGAAAACTATATGAAAAACACACATACTGAAAACATTCATTCGGATATCTCATTTTGTAATGAAAGTAATGTATAAGTATATCATTTAAATTTCCTCTTGAATACTGCATCTTTAAGAGTGTTTATCTACATAAATCTGACAACATCAAGCATCCACAGAGTAAAGAGAAGATAAATGCTGCATCAAGTCAACAGTGACATCTGAAACCATGTTCAAATAGAAAACTGCCCCAGGATGAAATAACTCATTCCCTTACTTGATACAGCAGCAGCCAACAGTCTTCCATCTGTTTCTAAAACCATTACCACTCTGCTGTAAATGCCTTAAGATTCCCACATGAAACCAAATAACATGTTCACAGTCACTGCTGCTGCTTTAGCTTCTGGACTTTTACAAAGACCTTCAGTGCCTTTGACGAAGATGAAGAGACTGCACTGATAAACAGAGGAAATGAAATAAAACCCTCCACAACTAATCATCCATATATTCTGACACCAAATACAAAACCAGAGACACAGACTTGGACACATTCTAAAAAATAACATGCAGCGAAGCAAGTGTAAAATGCTCACTCTCTCTCTCACACACATACACGATTGCATCAACAATTTTTTACAGTGCAGCACTTTCTGCAGTTGAATAGATAAGTAAGTAAGCCATCACATCTATATCTGTATAAGCTCCGATAATATTTACACATGCTTCTTTTTTGATGATCCTCTCAGCATGTCAGGTTGCATTAAGAATATATAACAAGAAGTCTCCCATAAGGGAAACGGGGGGAGAGAAAGAGGGAAAGCAAGAAAAAAAGAAAGAAAGAGAGAGAGAGAGAGAGAGAGAGAGAGAGAGAGAGAGAGAGAGAGAGAGAGAGAGAGAGAGAGAGAGAGAAAGAGTGAGATGAGTGTTGAGATAGAGAGAGAGGGTGAATTTCATGGATTTGTTGATCTTTGATCTCTGTCCAAATATAATATGTCATTCCAGCAGCTGGTCGGGCTGATAAGATGTGAAGCAGCATAAATCTTAATCCAGCCAGAGACAAGTTGAGGAACTTATTAATGTTTATACAGTTAGAGTTGGTGTAAAAAGGCTCTTTCAGGAAGCTCTCAAATAATGTGAGCAGCAACAAGGATTCTGCTGGAAGAAGTAATCACACAAAAAAAAAACAAAGGCATAAAATATATATGAAACAAATTTCAGAGATATCTGTAAACACATATGAATATTGGATCTTCGCAATAGAGACCTGTCAGCGTATGCACACACACAACGGCATGAGAACATTTAAATACGTAAACATTTGTATATACGTTTGTATTGCAGCCCTACGTGACACAGCCACTGCATATACAGCACTGTGTCTAAGTGGGTCCATCTGTACAAGAACAGCATATGAGCTGATGTCTGTGTGTATACAAGTGTGCACACTTGACTCTGTGTATATCTGATACTGGAGTAGATGATCTACAGTATAATAAAGAGCAGCAGCTACATTCCATCTCTTCCTAGTCGGGGCAGACACAATATTATTCACTCCACTGGCTCTGGCTAATCACATCAGCCTACTCACCACACACACACACACGCAGAGAAGCACAAAAATAGATGCAGACAGACAGCCATGCATGAATGCTCCCCAAGAGTTGCAAGTTTGATGCCAAGATCTGACTGCTAAAGCTCTTTTAAATGTGTACCAGTCTTGTTGAAAGATGGGTTTCAGAGAGGAGATGCAAATTTAATAAAAAAGGGGGAAAAAAGGCTGTTGCTGTTGAACAAGCATTATGAAACTACCCATCAGTTCTGCAGTTAAGTCTCAGCTGGTGAAAAACCCCTGGAAGTGAGGATTTGACAGTTTTATGAAGCTGAAGCCTTTTTAATATGTAACAAAGTGCTGATGCATACAGTGCATGTGTGTATCTGTGTGTGTTTGGGTGCTTGCGTGTTTGTGTCCTACTGTCAGATGTAATTCCAGCTCTCTGATTATCAAAAAAGTAGATCCCTGCGAAGATAGCGTACCAGAAGTTTTAAAGTCAACTTTGAGCCTGCATGTGCATGTGTGTATGTGCATCTGTGCGTGTGTGTGACCCCCTGGGGAGTGTGAGCGTGCAAATTCAGCCCTCAGAAGGAGGTCTGGGGGGATTACAGGGAGGAATGATGGGAAAATCTGGGAGCACTCTCTCATTCACTCACACGGCAGGCTGCTTTTAAGGACAGGCAAGTGTGTGTGTGTGTGTGTGTGTGTGTGTGTGAGTGAGTAGTGTGAGCGGCTGCTACCTCATCAAAAGGCACAGAACATTTTTCCACTTTATGCTGATACAATCTTTGTGTGCACACGCAGACAAAGAAAGCTGACTCGACTCCAAACGGTATCCAATTCTTACAGCGAAGCTCAAGGGCAATTTTAAATAGTCTTTATTGTGTACGAATCAACAACGCAGATCAACAGCTAACAGGAATCTCCGCTGACCTCATACATCCTCTATACGATTTTCAGGGACATAGCTCTCCACCTGTTAAGATGATTAAGATTTCAAAGTCAAGAATCTCCTCACACCACTCACCCGTCCTTTTCGAAGCAGCAACGGGCTGCCTTGTAAAAAATTTGACATGAATTTACAGCAATGGCAATTTATGACAAGTGAATAAAAAGGACTGAGAGCCACAATAAAAGTAAAGAGCCAGACAAGGATGATATAATACTTTCCACTCTGGGAAAAATTGAGAAAAATATAGAAACAGAAAAGAGAAAAAAAAGAGCTGTAAGAGAGCGGTAAACATAGCTGAAGGAAGTATCTTATAGATGTTGACATTAATCGTTTTCAAGTCTTTATTTTTTAGCCTAATTGTGTAAAGCCTAAGGCGTTAAACCACTTCTCTGTGGAAGGACAGACAGAAGGGAGAGTTTTCGGGATCATAATTTCTGTCACGAAAACATTCCTCCACTGCTTGAAACCACTTGAAACAAGTCCTCTCACATTTAACAGATGGATGAGGAACCGCACAGATACTCCTGACCTCTCTTGACTTTTAAATCTTTTACTCTCTCCACTTTCTGCCACTTTCGCTCTTTTTCTCCCCTCTCCCTCCTCTTTCCCTCTCTCGCGCTGTCTCTCTGTTTTTTACTTTGCGTCAGTTATACTGAATCAAGGGCAAGCTGTCATGTTTCGTGTGTGTGTGTGTGTGTGTATAGATCGTGTGCGGCCTCTGTGACCCAGGCTGTGTGCATGCGAGAGCCAGACTGTGTGTGAAGTAACCACTGCAACCACAGTCACGGTCTCCAGCCCTCCTCCCTCAAACCCTGCCTCCCACCCTCGCTCTTAATCTCCTCTCCTCCTTCCTTCCCTCCCTCCCTGTGTCCTTGCATGCTTCTCTCTATCCTCCACCTCCCTCTATTCCTTCCTCCATCCCTCTCCGCTCACATGTCTCCCTCTCTCTTTCTTCCATCCCACAATCCCACCGCCCTTCAGTCTGACCACTCAGGCCTGGGGGAAACATTGTCTGCTGGTTACTAAGCTTGACTTTTTCGCTGTCACTCATCAACAGCTGCATTGTTCCATATTTCAAGATTCAGGTCGGAGTCAATAAATAGACAACGGGGGAAATTCTCTTGAACTATCCTGTAACTTAGTGACCTTTTCCAGTAGTAATTTGGCTTTAATTTAAGTTTGCACGTAACTTCCCCTCATTATAAAGACTAGACAGTTTTGGAGGACAGCTTTTGCTCATTGCTGGCCATTAAAAGTGCTGAATAAATCATTGTTAGTTCACTTTTAAGACGTTTTATTTTGCAATGGTCGTTTTTATTTTAAAAGAATGAAGTGTCAACCCTTACCCTTCAATCACCTTTACTTACACTACTGTGTAATAATGTCTGCATAAAAGTTTAAAGGTACTCTCCTCTCCAAAACAAACCTTGATTTAAACCGGTAAAAAGGGCTGAATAAAGCAGTTTCACCTCAAACAACCAGACAACCACAACGCTGACGCATGCAAAAAGAGGATATGATGCCATTGACAGGAGACTGGTGAAACCCACTGTTACCTGAATAAAATTACAGATTTCTCTGGGTTTGAACATTTGGGATAACAAAAGTACACAACTCAACAAAATATATAACATAGGTCTAATTTTTCTGGACATTTTAATGAGGACATCTGACATGTTATATTTTTAAGTTTACATATTCTGAATGCTTTTGTTACATGTCATACAGCATCAGGAGAGTCAGCGTTTTTACACCTGACTACAGGAACAGATCCTGGGGGTAGAAGGATGACGCTTGTTTCTGGTTAGATCATGCAACAGAAGGGTTGGCACAGTGCGGTGTGTGTGAATGAGATAACAGGGGTTACAAGAGGACAAAGATGGAATCTGATTAATTTAGAAGGCTTGGTAATGGCACAGGAGAGGTGGTAATTAGGCGTATACTGCAAAGTGTAGCATAAATCTGTGAGGGTGTGAGAAAGGCCGATGTATGAACAAGGGAACATCGTGTCCTTTCATGGGTCACTGGAGGTCAGTGAAAGTGGTCAAATTTCTTGACTTTATAACAAGGGCTAAAAATAATGTGTTGGAATGTGCTTCCGTGCACGTATGTGTGTATGTGTGAATGCTTGCGGTCGGGACATAAAGTGAGTACAGTCAAGTCCGTAATCCAGCTTTTTCCTCTCTGAGCCTCTCTAAACATCTGAAGTAAGGACACAGACACACGCGCACACACACACACACACACACACACACACACACACACACACACACACAACCCAGTTCAGTTGAGGACACTGCACAGACACAGGCTTGGGTGTCTCTTTGTGTCCCACCAAGCCATTGATATTAATTTAAATAATGAGATCAACTGGAAAAATTGAACTACTTCAGCCTAGAGGGGCATGCTTTCACAAGTCCACCACTGAGTTGTAGCGTTCAGATATTTGGGGGTTATTCTCGTTTCAAATTATCAATAGCATTGTATTGTTTTTACTGTCTTTGAAAGGATTATTAATTAGAATAATTACATCAAAAGACTTTGATTTCATTACGCAATGCTTGCTGCTGTTTCTCCTTGCCAACGGGATAAAAAGGACACAGAATGGTGAGGTTGACTATACAAGGCAATAAGGGAACTTTTGATGGTAAAGAACAGATGAACCGATGATTGAAACACACACACACACACACACACACACAGATACACACAAACAGACAGAAAAGAGTTATGAACTGGCTCGAGATCCTGAAAAAAGAAAGCAAATCCCTCTTATGCAAGGGGTCGAAAGGAGTATTTCCTATGTGAGACCATTTCCACGATGAAGGTCATGGGTTGCAGTGCTGTCCCATAAACTTATAAGATATACTACATATATATAAATGTGTCACCTATTTGGCTCTCCTGCACTACAGTACATATATTTTCAATGCCAGGGTCCTCAATTTATGACTTGGGGAGACAGCAGTGTAGTAAACAGCTACTCAAGGAAATATGGCTTTCAACAACCATTTATAAGTGCTTGTATCTTCCGTGATTAATCTTTTGTTTTTATGTCACAGTGTCAGTTTGTCATACAATGCATAATGGGGTTTACAGACCATCTCTTCTCTTGTTTTGTTTTTTGTTTTACTTTTACAGATTAACTTCCTGTCATCACAGCAGCATCTTCTTCTTCTTACCAGACAAATTGCAAGTCTCTATCAAATGTAACAAATGGCACCAACCCTTATTTGTTAGCTTGTTTATTGATTACTGCAGGCATGCTGGATGGATTCTGTGGTTCTGTTAACTGCTGTTTTAAAAGGTGATTGTTTGTGTGTGAATACACAGTGTAGCTTTATCTCAGATGTCTTTATGGTTCATCTGGTGGTAGTGGTCCCTTGGACTATAAAGTCTGTTGCAGAGGAACTTTGTGAGTTATTTGTATTCACAGACATTTCTGGAAGGGTTCAGCTCGATTGGAGCGTCCTGGGGTCACAAGCTGGTTTTGTTTTGCTTGACTGCATAATCTGGACGTAATAAGCTCATTGCACCGTCCCTGTCTTGCATCTCTGAAGCCATAAACTCTGTAGGTCTGTCACCAGTGGAGGCTCTTGGTCAGAGAGTTTGAACCAAAAATGCAGCCCTGGTGAACAGAGCTCTGGTGCTGGGAAGATTTGATTGGTCCACTGGTGATTTCCGCGGATGTTCGAGGTATCTATAGGATTTGTTGCAGGACTCTTGTGTTGGGGAGGATAGGAGTTTTATTGCGTGGTGTCAGAGGTCAAGGGTGTTTTTCTTGCGGTATTCTGGTTGCTGCTGCTGCAGTGAAGCCGTTGGCAGTAGTTTAATATGTGATGAGCCTAAGCACTAAGGGAATGTACTGTAGTGTAGGAGAGCTGAATACATTACAGGTTTGTTTGTCTGTATATACAGTATACACTGTATTATATAAGTATGGGACATAACTGTCTCCTGTGACCTTCAGACCATCTAACAAACATCTCTTTCCAAGAAGTGAGAAAGAAGAACCGGTGGCACTGAAAATATATGTATTGTAGCACTGGAGAGCTGAAAAGATGAAAGGTATATTGATTTGTATACACATATAATAGTTTATGGTGCAGCACTGTAACTCAAGACCTCCAGCATGGAGCCGGCCTTTTACTTCCTGCATGGAAAGACACACATAGGAAATACTCACTCAACATTTTGCATTAGGGGGTTTTAATTTTAATTTGTATGTAATACCTTCCTTTATTTGTATCTTTATGAGTGTTTAGACAAAACCGTATGTTATGTTAGGTGTACCTTTTTGGGAAAAACATAATAAAGGATGAAAGAAAAACACATTATTTTACATTAATCTCGTAAAAGCAGTCCTGGAGCAGAGTAACAGACACTGTTGGAGTTGGTATATTTCTGTATTTCTACCAAAGATTTAAAATAGAATGGCTCTATTTAATAATCTGAAGACCCTAGTTCCATCAAGCTAAAAAACATCTGCTCTTAAAAAATGCAGATAACAGAGCTAGTGCTGTTTTGATCTGACAGCAACGGCACGATCCTTTCCTTAACTAGAAAATGTTGATTTAAACTTTGACTTAAAGCTCCTGATAAGGGGTAAATGTAGCACTATGTAACACCCCTGAGGTCTGAGCTCTGTCAACTTTATCTGCAAACAGTGCAATCAGGGACATCTAGTCAAAAAAAAACCCTAGATAAAGTATTGACATTGATAAACACCAGTAAATGCAAGGTTATTGAGCGGTGTGCTGGACAGTGTGAGCCAACCACACAGGGAGCGGTAAGACCTTACGTAAGAGACTGGGCACAGATCCCAACACTCTATTAGATCGACTCGGCCTTTGGTTTGTGCATTGACAAGAACACATACGCAGGATTTCCACCCTATACTCACCCCATGTCCTCTCAGACACAAAAGGGTTGTAAATATTTAACATTAGAACAAAACAGTCTATTTCCCACTGTGGTTTTGGTGTCACTGTTAAAAAAACAAAGCACAGTCATGCACTGACGCTGGCTCCCACTAAGCTTCAATTAGCTGGCAACCCAAAGCAGTCATTTTTTACTTTGCGGTTCAATATCTTACAATATTTTCCCAAAATGTGATGGATTTATTACGGGCTTTGAGCAGGACCAGTACACCAAAGTTTGATAATATTAAACTGAGACAATCATGTTTGCGACTGAATCACTGCTGCCTCATATTTTGCTCCTGTCTCATCTGTAACCGTTAAATTAACATATATACCTGTTTCCCAAAATGTTGTTAAAGCCCCTGAAAGCTTGGTTTTCAACCTTAAGTATTTATCTATATAAAAAAATGTAGATACACCCCTAGATTCCACTAAATCCTACAAACTTCCTTTAAGCTTATCACCGGTAGGTAAATCTGGTGTCTGTGGCGACTTTCCTGCCAGCATCGGTGCCTTTTACATCAACCAACAATACCAGCATTTTAAGTGATGCTGAGCAGAACTGAATTTTGTGTTTGTGTAATTGCTCTCACTGCCAGAGGGGGAGACAAAAGGTTAGGCACTGCAGGTTTAAAAGTATAACACAACCCACCAACTGTCTTCATACTCTGATTCAAATATATTAAGAATGTAACATCATCTTTTTCTAAATGAAACCCCAATTCAAAGCGGTGAGAAGAGCACAGAAACTAAATTAAAACAGAAATAACAGTTCTAACTTTGGCAGAAAGTAGACCTGTTCATGTACGACTCTATCAAACAAGATAAAAAGCTATTTGTCAATATGTGTTTTCTGGGCCTTTAAGAAGGACCAATCTGTGTACCCGCCTATTCCCAGTGCTAACATTTTAAACCATCATACACATTTCATTCAACATTAGGTTGTAGGTAAGGAATCTGAATCAGATGAATAAAATATGTATAATAGAATAGAAGTAGATGTAAACGGAACAGAGCAGATATCGCAATCATGACCTTTCTCTCCTCAACTCTCTTGTTTCCTGCTGGACCTCCTCCAGAGCTTCCCTCAGTTGTGTCACTTCCTCTTCAGCTGCGCTGCACTTCCTGTTCATTTGTTCCTCTCTGTGCCGCCATGACAACAGCTGCTCCTGTACGGTGTCGCACCTTTGTTGGCATGACAACCACCTCTCATGTTTCTCCTCCAACTCCCCTTTTAACCTGTGGAAAAGATGCAGAACATGAAACACAAGCCATACTGTAATATGCTAGGAGGACATGATTGCATGTATATAGGGCATGTGCACGCATGCTTTAAACAACCACACGAACGCACACACCTGCAGGAACACAGTAACTCTGTACTGGCAGGTCAACAGGTGAGCGTACGCGTCAGAGTAAGTCTGTTACGTAAGAGAGAAGCCGTTTATTCTCCAACCTTATCAGGCTCCTTATAGTCAAGTGGTTGACACACACCAAAACTGGGCCAGGGCCCAGATTCAAACACCCATTCTCTTTGTAAAAGAGACAGGCAAGCTTTTCCACACAGGTCAAGTACCAAATCATTGTCGTGTTGTTCTGACAGTGAATTTTGGTTTGTCAAGTGAAAACACAAAGGAGACAAGAACACAGATATGTCAGTATCTGTGTTCTTGCAAAATCAGTCCCCCTTCATCAAAAGACAGACATTTTTGAAAAGAGAGTCCAAGAAAAGAAAGAGATGGACAGACAGAGAGAGAGAAACAGCACTTAACTGTTATCAAACACAGGAAGGGGTGTTTTCTCGTCTCATCTCTGCTCCTTACTCTGAGGAAAGGTTGGGTATAAGACTATTTAAACACAGTGAAACTGGACAGTTTCATCACTTTAAAAGCAGCAACTACCAGATTTCTCTGCAGAAACCAAAAGCTCCTTGACCAGATAAACATTATCTTTAGTGACCTAAAGTATGGTCTCCAATCTTAGACAGTTTGGTAAATTGTTGTCTCCCATTACATTTTCTCTCAGCTATGGAGGGGGTGCACCCTCCCTCCCAAAGCTCTCATCCCATCTGAAATAGCCTCCACCCCCCTCCCCACTGAAGTGCTATCATATGTTACACTGTATAGGAGCCAGAGGGTGAGATCAGAGACTGCTGTGTGGGAAGGGAAATAAATTGACAGTGTAATTGAACACACCAGGCTGCCAGTGGCTTAGAAAAAGAATACCAGCAGATACCATGTGAAAAAACACACGCCCCACATACATCTAACGCCTGCATGGAAAGATGAGAGGCTCTGTGTGTATATGTCTGTCTGTGGGTGTACACATGTGGGTTGGGTGTGTAAGCACATGTGTCTGCCTGCGTATTGGCGTGATGTACTCCAATAGAAGTGCAACTGCGCCTCTACAGTATGTGCGTGCATCTGTGCATATATTAGTGTGTGTGTGTGTGTGTGTGTGTGGCTGTTTTGTGTGTGTGTGAGAAACATGAGTCCACGCCAACTAAGGAGTGCTTCCATCTGTTGCACCAGCCTCACACGAGACTCTCTGCTGTGTCACTGGCATTTTATGGAGCCTAAGATCTCCTCAACTGATCCAAGAGCAGATCTCAGCTGACACTAATATCCCCACCTCTCTCTGGGAGGAAGGAGGTGGATAAGAGAACTACAGCAGAGGAAGAGGATGATTTGGCGGAGAATGAGTGGGACGAGTAAAGGGATTGTGGGAAAGTTGGAGAAGGGATAGGATGGGAACTTATCACAAGATACAAACACAAGTACAGTGAAAAAAAAGAGGAGAGGTCAGTGTACCTGAGTAGTTTTTCTCTGTCCACTTTCTGTTGGCACAGCTGCTCCTCTTTCTGTCTCTGCTGCTCCCTGGAGACACAAAGTGCACGGCACGGGCACTCAATCATTTGTTTAGTCAGTAAAGGCAGACTGACATACAAAACGAAAACAGAGTTATACTTTCCTCTTCCCCTAAAATGTATTTCACATTCAATGTACCCACGTTTCACATTCTGGCAGAGGGAAATACAATCTCCCAGAGCATGTTTTTACAATTTCAAGTGTTATTGAAAAGTACTTGAGCAAGATACCAAATCCATACAACTGCTATTCTGTGTACTCCTACGCTTGAATCTCCATGTGAAAGAAGCCAAGCTTAACAATGAATTCTCCCTGTGGGATCAGCAAAAGTTCAACAAAGCTTTCTGTATATCACAACTCGTTTGGCTTGCAAAATACTATTGGTTGTTTCCATAAGTAATTTAGATTTTTTTTTCGTAGTAAAGTAAGTAAATAAGCAATGTGCATGTGAAATGAGCTCTTCTTGCATGTGCAGCTGCTGCCTTGCTCTTGAGAAAGTAAATTGGAAATCAGTTTTAATTCTAATTCTGCGTGCCATGACAGTATGTGGTACTCCCGCCTCCTGTGCACACACACCCACACACAATCACCCACACACAGACTTTACCCTAACCCTCCTAACCCTGTCGGCTTCTCAGCCTAATCCCCTCTCTGGCGGCATGATCAGTTAATGTGTTTGTGTGTGTGTGTGTGTGTGTGTGTGTGTGTGTGTGTGTGTGTGTGTGTGTGTGTGTGTGTGTGTGTGTGTGTATAGCTGGCTGTCTAGCCCTGTGACCTTGCCGCCACACGCAATGAGGATACAGAGTGAGAGGGCTCGCACGTCTGAGCTCACAGTCAGACAGCCTATTTTCACTGCCCATCAACAATTGTGTGGAATTACTGGGTACATTTTTACTGAAGTCGATTCAGTAAAACAGCGAGTTCATCTCATCTCTCCATTAATAATTTATCATATCGGCATCATAACAGAATGTAGGGATCCCGTTGCTGCGAGCCACATAATGACGTATGGAAGTATTAATAGGAATAAAACAATATCTGAAAGTTAGCCACAGATAGGCAGAAGAGACACAGGCCCAGATACACACACGTAATCAGAGTAATACACTCACAGCTGTCTGGCACCAGTTATCAGCCTCCCTCTCTTTGTAGCTCTCATCACACATCTCCATCCCATTTCCTCTCTCTTGCTCTCTTTTTTTAACCCTCTTTTCCTTCCGTGCTGTCACAGCTACTGGTGATTTAGAGCAGGCCCCTGAGTGCTCCTACACTCTGCCTATTTAGCTGCAGCATACAGTTTGTAGTTTACAGTCCGCTGTGCCTGTCCCTCGTCTTTCTCTGTCTCGCTCCTACTTCTTGTCTTTAAGGTGAGAGATGACATGATATCTGACTCCCAGCTGCTGTTTCCACTAATCTTTATCCTTTGGTCTCCTTTTTTTAGAGGTGAAAAGGGAGTTGAGAGAAAGAGCAATAGAAACAGAGTGAAACAGAGGAAGGTGTTTTTGTGAATTACTGCAAGACAAAGGGTTCAGAGTGCAGTCAAGTGTGTACAGTGCAGTGAAGGAGTGGCAGAGCTTTTTGAGTATTTCTGTGGCTGCAGGCATGTGGTGTACCAAGTGCGCACATGGAAACAAGGTGGATTCGAAAGAATCTATTATTATACATTATCATAGGGAGTGTTAGGGGGCAGGTTTCCCGATCACAGCATAAGTGTTCCTGAGCGGTGTAAAGAGGAGAAAGACGTTCAAATTGTCTTCTTCCATGGAGATGTGTGCCCAACGTGAACTGAATACATCACTGTCTCCACCCGTAATGACTTGCACTGCATAAACTGAAAGAAAACATGTAGAATAATGAATCATCGTGTAGCGAATACGTTTGCTGGTTGCGCAACACTTAATCAAGGTAACCACAGTGGATCTGGCATGTGTAATCACAGCTTGACAACAAGCGTCAGTCAAATTACAGATTGCAGACAGAACACATACCTGCCACCTTCAGCTGACTGTGAAGAGAGTTAATCAGCTGTTGTGAATGACAGATGCTGATAAGAATCAAAGATTAATCTTCAATCTGCCATCTTGGCCAATAAATATATTTTTCTCAGTGTAATTAGATGTGTCAACCAGTCAAAGAATGTATCATAAAAGGGAAACAGACAAGAAAAACATGTGGGTGTGACTCCACAAATTAAAGTGAAGAAAAATGTGCATAGGTTGCTGTTGATCCAATCCGAGCAGACGGGTGGCAGGCGGCGCAAAACATGGTGAATCTTGACACCGAAATTGTAACGTACCAGTGACACCCTGCTGAGCCTCTCCTCCCACTGTGGTCAATGGCAAGTCATCAAAATATCAAACAGCAACATGAGAGGGAAAAACCTCTCCGCACTTCAGGAAAATACCATGTCTTTTTCGGCATGTGCTCACATGATAACAAAGCCCACAGTGAAAAAAAAAGTTTTTTCTTTTTAACCTGAGATAGAAAGAGGAAATTAAAAAAAAAAGGTCTATGGCTGCTTTTATATAATATGTGATTAACATTAAACTAAGGTTAGGGAGGGAGGGTGTGTGTGTGTGTGTGTGTGTGTGTCAGTAAAATGGCAGGACAAGATCTTGTGGGTAACGAGGTCCTTGGATACATCCTGAGATCAATAGTTATTTCTACTGCCAACAGTCACACAGGCACAGTGCGCGCACGCGCACACACACACACACACACACTTTAATACGTACATGCACACGCACAGAGCAGTCAGCGTGCATCAGCCTTATGAAAACAAGCTGTATCACATCAATCACATCAATCCTTTGCTCTTTCTCTCTTGACCTTCACTCATTCCATCATCCACTCTTTCATCTCTCCTCCCTTGCTCAGCACATCCATCCTGTCTTTCATCTATCCCCCTCTTCCCTCTAATCCATCCTTTCAACCTGGCCCGCGTCTGCGTCGGATGATCCATGTGTTCATCCTCTGATGAAAGGATGAGCTCAATGTCTCCTGCCAATCAGAAAGCAGCAGGAAGCTTCCCAACACATTCTGACATACATGTCATCCAGACGTTACAGGAAGGGGTTGTGACGCTCTCTGTGATCCTTTGACAAACGCTGCCAAATTGCCCTCAGGCTCTGTGCATACTATAACTGCCCATCACTCCTATGGACTTAGTATGGACTTAGGCCAATAGTATGAGCTCACAGACAGAGTGAGTCCCTGTGCCATGGAGGTACATGTACAAATGTTGTGAATACAGGAACATTCTGGGTACAAACAAGCTAAAGGACAGGAGACCCTGTAGAGTGTAGCGAGTAAGTCTGTGTGTGTGTGTGTGGGGGGGGGGAGTTGCCTGTCTGGGTGCGTGTGTAAATAGTCATGACAAAACAAGCTGCCCTTGAGTGTCTCTGTAGCACGCTGATCAGATTGCATGCTAGGATCAGAGGGATTCCACAGCCGCTCACTGTCCTTAGACCGCCCCTGAAATATGTGTGCATGTTCGTTTCCAACGCAACAGGGCTGGCGCCACAGAAATACAACAGGTGCGGAACACAGACGTTTGATGGAGGTGAGGGTCAGAGGTTGGGGCAGTTGTCATGGCAACACCTCTTGTACACAAACAAAGTGGTACTTTTTGTTCTTGGATCTTGAGCGAGCATCAAAGGTTTGGGAAACTCTGGAGCTGATATGATGCATAGTGTGACTGAAAGGATACAGAACACACACACACACACATACACACACACACATACACACACAGACAAAAACACACACAGACAGGCAGCTGCTGTAGTGGAGGGTGTTTGGACAGACAACCAATCAGCATCAACTGATCAACTGGTCAGTGAAAGGAGGTTTAGCCAATCAACTCAGACATCCCATCTGGACCTCAGTCTAGACCTCGCCTGACTGTCTGCCACGCATGACACAGAAAGAGAAATCATTGGGTTGTGTTTATTTTACTTTGTCAGTGGTGGAATTTTAAGTACTGTAATTAAGTTAAAATGTGAGGTACTTGTACTTTATTCAAGTATTTTCATTTTATGCTACTTCACACTTTTACTTTTACTACTTCATTTAACAGCTTGAGTTAGCAACATTTCACAAAACACACAATGAGCTTATAAACTATGATACTTTGTTAAGAGATTAAAATACCCAACAATATATAAATAGTAAAGATTAGCCTCAACAACAGTAAAATGTAAGCTACACATTTATGGGCCTGGATTATTGATCTAATAAATAATATATAATAGAGTAGACCACTTACAGGGACCATTATTCTGCACTGAGTACTTCCATTTTTGTAGCAGATTTTGCTAATAATACTTTAACTTAAGTAACATTTTCAATGTAGGACTTTTAATTTTAACTGTACTTGAGTATTTTTACAGTGTGGTATGGCTACTTTATTTCCTCCACCAATGCATTTTGTAAATAAATAGATTAATATTAGGATTAGTATCATGATTTTCCAATTTGCCTCAAACTCTTTACCTTATTAAACACAGAATTTACTCAAACTATGCTTTATGTATTTTATATTATACTTTTTCTTTTACTTTTTCTACCTTAAATTTGAATTACGTTTCTCCAAATTGTAATTATACTATTGCTACTTGTGTCTACTTTTTAAATGTGGTACTTATTGCATATCTGTCCACCCTGGAAAGGAGATACTTCCACTGTTGTTCCTGTTGAGGTTTCTCATATTATTTCTTGTTAAATTGTTTGTTTTGTGGAGTCTTCATCAGAACTTAAGATCTAGATATAGAGAGTGTCCTCTCAATTGCAAAGTCCTCTGCTGTGTAGTAATTAGAGCTGTTAAGACAGATATGAGCCCCTCCTTCCAGCAATCCCCTCACACACACACACACACACACACACACACACACACACACACACACACACACTCCTTATAATGCAATAAAGTCTCAGACTGGAGCACAGACCCGCCTCCTCCTCCTCCACATACACCTCAACATGCAACATGCCTTAAGGCTGATTCTCCCTACAGCATATGTCCATATGTCTGGGTGGGTCGCGTGCGACTGAAAACACCCCCTCCATCCGCCCTGTCTCAGTCCTGATCCCTGTATTGGATGGACGTGCACATTCCACACACATGCACACAGACACACATGAAGTCAACACAGTAGCATGTACTGTTTGTGTGGCATGGCGGGGGGGATGATGGGGTGGCTGGATTTGGCTAGGCTCTGATCTGTACCTAAAACTGGTTTGGTGAGACATTTGGAACACAAAACAAGTTACATTAACCTAATATTTTATTGGTAAGAGATGATGGTGCATTAGCTTAAATTATCTTGTACCAAAGCCATATGTTTTCATTTGTTTAAAATGAAAAATGAAATAAGGATGTATGTTTAAACAGAAGAAAAAGAGAGATAATGAAACAGAAAAGTGGTCAAAATGTGGTTAATAAAGTAAAGGAATTATCAAGCGGTGGAATATGGCAAAAGAAAATCATTGTGGAAGGAGGGAAAGATGAATTAAATTAAATTAATGTTTCATTTGATGTCTAGCTGGTCAAGTAGTTGCAGATTATAAGCAGATGCAGAGTAGATACAGTAAAACCACCACTTTCTGGGTCTTATAGTGCACTGTTAGTTAGTGTGTCTTACTGAAATGCTCAAAAAGTCCAAACTGGTTGTACAAAATCTCTGATGTATCAAGATATCAAGATTACGTCAATGTTGTTAATGTTTTTAATGTTTAGTTAACCAGTGATGAGACACAAACACATACACTACTCACAAAAAGTTAGGGATATTCCACTTTCGGGTGAAATTTATGGAAAATGTAAAAAAAAGTTGATGCTACAGTGATATTATATCATGAAAGTAGGGCATTTAAGTAGAAGGTCAAATTAAGATCACCTGGAAACGTTATAGTGCATTTTATGTACATTCTGAAATTTCATCCGAAAGCCGAATATCCCTAACTTTTTGTGAGTAGTGTACTTATACACACATACAATCACATACACATGTTGTATATATATGTACACACACCGATTCAACTCAACCACACATACTGTATGAGATAGTCTCTGTACCTGAATGCAACAGCAGTTATCAGTTATTATCAATCTGAAACTGATAAGAAAGAGAGCGAGAGAGAGAAAAAAAATAAATGAGTAGTTTCCAAAGGACAAAAACAAAGTTGAATGAAACATTTTTGGGAGAGAAAAGAGAGACTGAGAGGTCATAGAGGGAGAAGGAAACATTAGTGAACAAATGAGTGCTTCATCTGCAGTCTGTCAGGTCAAGGAGTCCTTTCATTTTCCGATTATCTGATAAAAGCAACATTTAACATTCACTCCCTTTGTGTGTCGGGGGATATTTGTGTTTTTGTCTATCTTTGTGCATGTGTTGTGGGTGTCCATTTGTTGGTGCCTGTGTGGCTAATTTTTCAAATATTATGAATGAAATCATGAACACAAGATTAAATAGAATTCTCTGTTTCTTAGAAATAACTATAACTCAGAATTTGCAAACATTTGAAAAGGTTATCATTCTACAGTGAAAACCAGAGTCAGGATAGCGCCAAACATGGAATCATTTATCTATTTTGAATTCTTAAAGGAAAAGAAAAAAAAGTTTTAATGGACGGCAAAACTTGACCTAACCAGCTCAAGCATTCTTGTGCTTGTGATAGCAATAGATAGCCTGTCATTACAGAGAAAACACTGCATATTGTGTGCATGGAGTACTTCTGTGGTTAAGAAGTACATTGGCTTTTAGTCTGTTTTTCCAAAGTACATGCATTCAGATTTCCCTGTGCTGTGCCCTTTACAGTTTTTGATTCAAACCCTACAGTTTGAGGAAAAAGAGTTAAAGGATCCTACAGTTTAACCATTCTTCTGCTGATGCCTTAACTTAAATGTGCTCTGTCTCTATGACAACACTAACATGCTGATGAATAGTAGGCATAACGTTTTACCATTTTCACCATGCTACTTATGCTCTTTAACATGCCAACGTTTGCTAATATGCTAGCACTAAACATAAAGTACACACAGCTGAGGCTGGGAAGGCTGTTAGTTTTGCAGGTATTTGGTCACAAACCAAAGTGTTTTGACCTGATGGTAAAAGGTTAAGGTTTCATCAAAGTGATTATTTTTTCCTCAGAGGGACATGAGTGTGAGAACCAAATTTCATGGCAATCCCTCCAATAGTTGTTAAGACATTTCACATGTCAACCTCATGGTGGCGCTACAGGAAAGTCAGGTGATCACCAAAATCAGTAGGAGTTATTTATTTTAATCCATTCAATAGCTGTTGAGATATTTCAGTCTGGACCCAAGTGGTGTACTAACCATCATACCAACCTAGACGATGCCATTACGGAGGCTATAAAATATGCCTTACTCAAAACTGCCGCTGTTATGAAGGTACATTTGTGCAGTGTTAGTTGAGGGTGTGTATGAGTGTTTGTCTGTGGAACAGGAAGGAACATGGAAAAAATGTCAAAGGAGCTGCAAAATGTTTGAACTGATAGAGCTTCATCATCAGCATATTTTCAAAAGCCACCGGGGCATATTTTTCCTCAAGTCCTAAACCCATGACTAGACCTTTGTGTGAGTGTATACAAGTCAAATCCTCTGTTGTTGCAGCTTAGCAGGCCCGGTATGTGGAACGTGTGCATTTCCTGGTTTGGGCGGTGCCAATGGGGCTGTTCAGAAGGTTTTGGTTGGTTAAGGAAAATCATACATAGAGCCAAGCCCTGCTGTGACCTGTTCCTCACCCGGCATACTCCACATACCAAGATCCACCTGCGTCCCCATCTGTGCATATGCATGTTTTTCATAAACGTGTGTGTGTGTGTGTGTTTTACCACATACTGTAGACACTTACATCAGCTGCTGAGTTAGGTGCTCTTTCTCTTCTCTCATTTTCTGACAATCCACACTGGAATGCTTCAGCTCCTCTCTCATCACTGTTCAAACACACACACACACACAGATTTAAGTTTCCTTGACACGTTGAAGATGCTGTAAAAGCTTACAAAAGCTTGCCTGTGTATAACGCCGGCTCAGAGCCAGGCTTGTCACCAGAGGCTGTTACACTGCATGATTTACAGAATGTGAGAGACAGAGGAGAGAAAAGAGACAGACAGGTACACAAGCCGAGTTTTCTATCACATTGTTACTTCACGGAATGGAAGGGGAAACAAAACAAGAGGAGGAGGAACACAAAAGAAGGACAGAGGTTCCAGACAGAAACATGAGAGTCCCACAAACAAGGGATGAGGAGGAAGAGTGAGAAAAACAGAAGGGTTGAAAAGAAAACCAAGGTGGAAAACTGAGACATGAGGAAGCAGTTGAAAATGAGCTACAGAAGTTGAGAAGAAGGGAGTACGAGGGAATTTGTGCTCAGGGGAAGCTGTGAAACAGTACACCACAGTCTGGCAGTCTTTGTTGTTGTGTGTCTGATACAAAGTAGCTGCTGTGTTGCTACTGTTTCCTCCCTTCCCTGCCTGTTCATTTTCACCTTGACAGTCACGATACAGTGTGTACATAGCAATGGGATAAAATATAAAAAAAACAAAAAGTCACAAGAATAAATAAATTATTAACCAAGATGAAAAAAATCATTTAATAAACACAGAAGTCCTTAAAAATTACATTTTAAACAATATGGCTAATTTCTACTTGCTTGAATCTGAACCCGCTGTGATCTTTAAGTGGTAGGGAGACTAATTTTGTTCTTCACATTCAAATTTACATAACAGGCCGTTTCCAGGCCGGTGAATACATTTATTAAAAAACAGACCTGGAAGAAATGCTTAACTGCAATATTTAGGCCATGTCAGGCCAGCAACTTGTCAGACTGTAGCACTGGACTTACTGCAGCTCCAGGCTGGAGTGTATATCACGCAAGAGAAAAGCACTTAAGTTCCATGTCTGAATAGTGAATAACTCGAGACACGCCACTATTTTCTGGAAATGCCACACTTAACTGTCTTTTGTAGAAATATTTGCATAGTGGCCTCAAGTCTTCAAGTAGAAGTGAGATACATGAGATGAGATAGGCTTATAATCATGATTATCTTCACCAACATTTTCAGTTCAGCGTCACTGATACATTTAAATGCAAGTAGAAACAAGAACTGTTCCTATTGGATGTCTTGTACACCATAGATAATGGTATAAAAAGGTAATTATCATCATCAGAATCATCACACCAGCCACAATATCAACATCAGTGTAATTATTATAGTTAACACCAAATAACAATGATGGCTAAAAGTGAGTGTATGGTCCTATTGTATTGTATATACTATGTATTATATATTATGTATATATTTGGGATCTAAACACCAAACTGATTCTTTCTTTCTTATAAAAACTGCCTGCACAGGCATCAGTATATACAAACCTGAAGCATTAAAATTAGGCTTGGCAGAAGCTTGTCTGGTTAAACTAAGCAATAGTATTAGAATATCAATATAGGAGTTACAGTTACAGTCATACAGTACACAAGTAAGGTAAATGTGCCATTCCTGCCTGACAAGGATCTCACTGAGCCATAATGAAGCTATAATAACAATTATTGCGCAGGTAGTGTATTTTTTTATGTATGCTGCATAGTGAAAATAGTAAACAGTTGTATCTGTGTTTCTATCACTGGCCAATATTTAACTATTTAATATTTCTCTGTGGCTTGCACATTCAGTGGCTAACCAGGAACATTACATGCAGAAGGATTAATTAACATACTTGCCATGGAGGTCCCCATGGTTCGATTGCTTCTGCTCCATGTTTGACACAGCTATTGATATGGAAGAGTGTGCCTGGTCTATGCATTTTATTTCTGTGGTATTTCCAATATATTTTGTACGAGAATCTCAGTTAAGAACGATAATAACATTTGCTATATTAGTATTACCATTAGTATTATGCATGACAGACAATGGCTGTGTCGGTGTCCGGCTAGCTGCTTGCATGGCCAACAGGCAGGCGGTGTGAGTAGTGGAGTGTGTCAAAGAAGTGTTATGTGTTTGTATTTGTGTGCGTATGTGTGTGTATGTATGTGTCTACTGTATATTGAGAGACTTGTCTGTGAGGGTCCTTTAGAGCGGTGCAGCAGGGCACAGTGGCTGTGGCTCTGGAGAGCTCTCCAACTGATCCAGCAAAGTCAGCCTGACATTTTCCTTCTCCGAGTCTTTGTTTTCCCCCCTCTCTCTCTGTCTCTCTCTCTCTTTTCTTTTCTTTTTCTCTTCACTGTTTCTCTCCTCTCAGTCTTTCTTCATCTAAATCTTCCCTCTTTCTGTGGCTCTGTTTTCCTATTACTCTCTGCATTGCCTCTCTCGCTCTCTCACTCAGCAGGAAGAGGGGAGTGTAGGAGGTCCTTCTCAAAGCAGCAATACACCGATAATTGCTTTCTGGTCACTGTGACATGACAAGGTCTGCCAGGGTAAAGCAACACACACACACACACACACACACACACACACACACACACACACACACACACACACACACACTCACAGACACTCAGAAAAAATGACACAATAATACAAAACACACAAGAATGCATATACAAAGAGCCACATGAAGAAAGACACACAAGCAGCAGAAAAACACACAGAAACACTCACAAATACACACGACACGTCCAAACAGAAATAATTGTATAAATACTTGATGGAGCAGAAAGACTTTGCAATGAAAGCAAACCAGCCTGTCTGACTTTCTCTACAGTGCTTCTCTTATGTGTCACAGTGCTTACACACAGACACACACAGTGTGTAACAAGGTGGCTGTAAATATTACAGCAGCTTACTGGCAGCTTTCCACCAAGGTACTGTAACAGTTTTACAGTACTGTTGCTGTGCAGGTTGTTTGCAGTGCTGCCACAGTAAATTTTTAATTAGCTGTTAAGTAAATCACAGTAATAAATATACTAGTATGCTCCTCCCCTTTGACATGTTCACGACACTGTTAAGACCAGGGAAGGTTTTAAGTGCAGAGAATATCTGATAACTTCAAATCAAAAACATTATCAACATAATTAGCCAGGTTCCCTGAGGATTGCACTGCTTGCCATAAATCTGGTGGTCGTAGAGAGAGAATAACAACAACAAAAAAACATTAGACAAACAAAGCGAATCGTATTCATAGTTGTAAGTGGTGCTGAGATGATTATCATTAACTGTTGGATAACTATAAGGCAGCTAAACTGGGCTTAGCACTTAGAAGTCAAAGAAATGCTAATGACAAAAGTCAGCAAAATGAGCAAAATATAAGAAGAAAAGTTCACTGTATGAGCAATCTACACCATAAAACTTTAAAATAAGAAAAACGTGGGTGATACCAAAAGAGATGCTTGATACACACTTTAGCTTTGTCTCTGCTCACCTCATCACCAACTCCAGGGACTATAAAGAAGCACCCCGCTCACTGCTGCTGTCAATCTAAACCCATCAGATGTTACAATAAAAGAAACAAAAAAAGAAAACTAAACTGAGATGTTTGAGTGAAAATCTTAAATATAGAATGCATATATACCTGAAAATATCAGATAAACTGTGAGGAGAACAGGCTATACATGCAGTTTCTGTTGAGTTACTGTGAAGATTCAAAGAAGGGGGAAAAACAGGACCAAACACAGCTGATGAGAGTTCACAGTTCACTATGTTCACTAACATAGACTATAAATTAACGAATTCCAACATGAAATATTTTGCAATTCACAGAAATTGGTTTCACACAAACATAAGCGCACATAGACACACCCTGCGCCTCTTGTTATGCTTGGATTTGCGTGGTTTGAGGCAACATATATGGAGCAGAACAGTAACAGTAATCCACATGACCAGGGCCCTGGAGATTACAACTACTTTTACAGTTACCTATTAACACACACACAGCTGCACCCTGGAATTCTAACGAGAGTCTACATAACTATTATATCACATTCTTAAGTGGTCGGGTACCACAAACATTTTTGGGTGTCTGCCTAGTTTATTATGCGCAATAAAAGCAATACTTCTAAACCACAGAGGCAAGGGAAAGACAGTCAGGAGTGTAGCTGTTATTTCACTGAACTGGAATACTATGGAATTTATTTTTAAAAAATGGCTCAGTAATAGTGAGTTACTTCAGCTCTGGTTCAGATACCATTCTGCTAGATGTTTGTATATCAGGGGAACAGTTTATTTTTAATGCAGTCCATAAATCTTCCAATAATTTATACATGTTGCAACACATGCATTTTCAACTTGAAGATTTACGTAATAAGCAAGACACAGACAGAGGCAGGCAGATGTGGAGATGTTTCTATATTGCTGTTGTCACTATCAACACACACATACAAAGTTGGCTTCCAGGGAAATAGATATCATAAAGTCCCAGGGTGTTGGCAGATGGCTGTGGTTCAGGCATCGGTCACACACACACACACACACACACACACACACACACACACACACACACACACACACAGATTCATACACCCTTAGTCACGCTCACAGCCTTTCCCTTAATTTTACTGTCAACCCTCTATCCTCTTTTCCAAAACACTGAATGAAAACTCCCACACTCTCAAAACTCTCTGTCCATCACCTTCAAATCATGTTGTAAGACTCAGCTGCTGACATCTGCACAAAATGAACAGGGATTAATTCTGCTTTTATGTCTTCCTCTGCTCTCAGTGCTCGTCTTTGTCTTGCTCTCTGTAAAATTCCACACCCCTTGAGGTTGTTTCTTGTCTCCTCCCTCTTCTTCTCCACCTAACCATAAACCACATTCATCTGTTCACATTAGGCAACCTCCTTATGTTTCTCTCTGTCTTTTTTTAACCCCCTCTCCTTCTCCTTTCTTCTGCTGTTCTGACGCTAACCACAGAACGCTGATTGACAGGTAGCACAGTTTAATTGCCAGCTAACGCCCATATCAGTTTGGAGGCATATGCAGGTGACTGGCTAAGGTGTGGGCTTTGTAGAGGTCCGCAGCTCAGTCCGACCAGGCCCAAGGGTTTTCACACATTCATGGCTGAGTTCAGGCCCATTTTCACTGACGTACTACAGGTTCTGGTAATAAATAAACACAGCTGTAGTTTTGAAATGACATTAAAATACAAATAATCACATATTCATTATAGATTGATGTAGCACTAAAACAAGTCCTCAAAGAAATAATCTGCAACTCTTTGGATTATCAATTGATATAAAACCTGAATATTCTTTGTCTTTTGTGATTGTAGAAAATAATCTTTGAACTATTAGTCTGACAAAACTAGCATTACCCTGGGCTTTACTAAATTGTGATGGCAATTCATTTTACATTTCATGGACCAAATGATGCCGGTTGCAGCTCTAGATTGACACATTGATTAATCGATTGATCTGTGTGTCCTGTCCTGATGCCCGTAGGCTAAGTTGGGTCCATTTCTGTGTTCAGGCTGCATGAGGACCTGAGTGTCCTGTGTTATGCTCTGTCCTGTGTGTCATGTGTAGCTTTTCCTGCCCCCTTGGAGTCATGTGCTGCGTCTCTGTGTTTTTCATATATCCTGTTGTGTATCCCGTTTGTCCTGCAATGTGTCTTGTCACTTTTATTTAGTACTGTCACATGCTTTGTGCTTTGTGACCACTAAACACACACGGAACAAAAGTGCGGCTAAATAAGTAACTGTTAACTTATCACAACAAACATGACACATGACGCTGAAATGTTTTTGTGATTAAATAATGATAATGGAATAATGATTACAAGACAGGAAATGTAGGCCTGTTGGATAACACTCTTTATTCTAGGCTAAGCCGCAAATACGTAGACTCATGTACTACAATATTCAGGTTTTTACAAAACCCTCAAATCTTTTGATTATGATTGAAAATTATTGTATTATTTACATCCACTTGCATACCTACATACTTGAGCTATAAATGGTTGCTTTTTGGGAGACGAGACACAACTTAATGCTGAACAAAGCACAGCATACAACAAGTTTCTGAATGTGAATGTGTAGATCGGTTTGGGAGAAGATGTAGGTTGTTTGACCAGATGCACTGTGTGCATGTGTGTTTATGTGTATGTGTGTGTGTGTGTGTGTGTGTGTGCATCTGTCTGTTCGTGTAGCAGCTGCCTTTCATGCTCACGTCACTGAACAAACACATACTCACACGGCATCAACACAAACAGCCGACTACATTTTTTTTCTTCCTCTTCCTCTATCAAATTCTCCCTCGTTCCCTCCCACTGCCACACACACGCACGCACACACCTACACAGACACACACACATATATATATACACACTTGGCAGCTGTTTGGAACGTACAACAGCAGAAGGAAAAAGACCCACCCATGAGGTGAGCCGGAGGTTAGTTCTCCTTTGGGCATTTACTGTCAACGACGAACACGTCTCACACACACACCCACCCACACACCCCCACACCCCCAAACACACACACCCACACACACACACACACACACACACACACACACACACACACACACCAAGCCTGCAGTCCCGCTCCTCTTGCTCGCAGTCTCTTTAAAGTTTATAGTAAGGGTTTCGTCAGTTTACAGCATTTACACACATAAAACCATGAACACACACACACGCACACACACATTCCTTCCTGTATAAATTCTCTTTAAAGGTTACATGAATTCGTGTAGCAACTGTAAATATACGCACGCACATTATAGTCAGCCATTGTGAGTGCTGCCCTCAGAACTAAAAAAGTCCACGGCATAGTTAAACTAATATTTATTCCTGCTGAGAGATTATTTACAGGACTCTTCTTTGCCTCGTTTTTTCCCCAACTTTTCTCTTTCATGTCCAACTCGGTATTAAAATACACATAAATTACCCTCATATATCTGAATTTCGCTCTCACTCTCTCTGTTTGTACTTCCTTAAAATGTGAAGTTTAAAGGTGGAGTACGTGATTCTAGGTAATACGATTATAATCCAATACGCAGCAACTTTAGTGACAGTTTGCAACATGGCTAACGTTAGTTACATTATTTACTGTGTTTTTGTCCACACTATATCATGGTATTTGTCATAGTATTGGATTTTTCCAGAATAAAATAATTTTTATTTTGTGTGGATTCTTGTGGCTCCTGTGGAAAAAAGCAGAAGGGTTTCCAGCGCCTCGTTTCACTGATTTCAAGGGGAATTCGACCGAATCTCATGGCAGGAATTAGGATTATCTCTATAGAAATAGCCAACCGTCTCACTGATGGTCTTGTTTGTTTATGGAAGTGATATAGAGGCATCGGTATTAAATTAAATTAAAAACTCCTTTGTACGTTTAAGTTGGTGTGTGTGTTAATATGCATGTGTGTGTGTGTTACTGTACCTGAGAACACCTGTGTGCTGTGCTGCAGTATCTGAGATCTGAAGGCCTGCCAGGCCCCCATCAGCTGGCGGAGGAAACCCTGTACATCTGCTAGCTCACAGCCAGAGGAGCGGAGCGTGGACAGGGTCACTCGCAGGGCCTGCTGCTGCCGCTCACACAGAACTCTGATAAACACAGAATAACAGGGTGAAACTGACCATTTGGTCTCAATAAATAGACAGCATTTCATTGTTATATCATAGATGGCTTTAACATCTGAACATCTTAAGTGAGCTGTCACATACAGATTGAGACAGTCGTGTTAATAGCTACCTAGGTAGCTGTTAACAAGTGCTGTTAAAGTGACAAGTGTGTGAATAAGACAACATTAGCCATTAAAGGTGTGGCTCAGAAACATTGCACTTGGAATCTCAAACTGGCAGGGAAATTCTCTCTTCCTCCTTAACAAATACTCTGACTATGACTCTTAATCCCCAATTGCTCCAGTGGAGTTTATCGGTGTGTAAGAGCAGAAGACAGTGGTTACTGCTCCCCTGTGTGAATGTGTGTAACTGTGGGCTTTTGAAGTAGAGCATTTCTGAAAAAGAGCATACTGTAAGTTCTGTGACAACATTCCCTGGATAGATCAAGGTCTTTTAAAAATGCAGCTGCTCTTTTACTGCAAAGAGTTTTGCCCAGTTGGTAATAAATACTGTATGTGTCAAGTAACACAGTAGTCACGATCACACATTTTGTATAGTATTTCAGTCTGCTAATTCATGTTAAGTCAATTTCCAGTAGATATAAGCATTCATATACAAGTGAATGTCACATGTTAGGATAGTTGAGTGGAGACAAGAGCCACACGAGACGCTCACAACCACACACAACCCAGCTAGAATGGCAGCAAATTGTCTCTGGCAGCCGCGACACAGACGGATCATGTATACATTGTCTGCAGGGGCTAAAAGGGGCTAAGACGAATATCATGTAAACCACAAGTCCTCTGTTTGAGTCCAGCCGGGATCTGTGTTTCATGTCTTCTCTCTCTCTCTCTCTCTCTCTCTCTCTCTCTCTCTCTCTCTCTCTCTCTCTCTCTCCTCACATTTCCTGTCTACCTCTCAAAAATAGATTGTTAAAAATTAATGTCAAAAATGCCCCAAAAAGATATTTTGAAAATATAAAAATTCAAATCAAGGAACACAGAAACGTATCTAATATGAAGCAAATCATCAGGCTTTTAAAACCTAGCCAATTAAAAAGACATTGAAAATCTAGTTTGAAGTGCTACAGACCACTTAAGACTACTTGTAAATTAATTTGACACTGAAAATTACTCTGCCAAGCTTAAAACTAATTGATCTGACAAATAATTTAGTGTCAAGAAAAAAAATACATACACCAAATATTTTTTCTTTTTCCATTTGGTAGTTTAAAACACAACCGTACCACCTTCTTTTATTTTGATAAATGGAAAGAGGGGTCACGCAGGAAAACACTCAAACTGAACAGATTACACTCTTTCAGTTTCAGTCTGAGCTTGCATTGAAAGTGAGCGAAAGAAGCCTTAGTGCCCGCTCAAATGCACTCACTCAGTTCCCTTGTTACACTGAAGACTGACTGTCCTTACTCGCACTAAATTCTAATGCTGCTTTTACAAATTTGTGCCCGAACACTCTTAAATGACTTGCAGACTAAACAGTGCTTAAATTGTTATGAACTGTGAACGGTGATTTTCTCATTTATTGGCTTCCACAGATGTAAGGAACGAATGGCAGGTATAAAGAGAAAATGATAATTAAAAGAGAGAAAAAAGGAGAAATAAAATAAATATAAAACAGGTGGATGTACAAGATAGAAGGAAACTGAGGGCTGATGTAACCACAATATCCTTTAAAAAAAAGGGCACAGCCATGTTTTACAGCACTCTCCCTTTCCCTCTCTCTCCTCCATCTCTCTCACTCTCAAAGAAATATGTTCAGACGAAAAGCACTTTGAGCAACATGAAAGATCACTAGCTCAGCTCACACAGAAGTCACACATACACACACACACACACACACATACTCTCAGTCAAGTCACAAACCCATGCAATGCGCAGACGTGGAAAACTCGAGTGCTGGAATAGAACATTCTGTTATTCCAAGAACACTTTCGAAGGGAAATGTGGACGAGAGCACAGTGAACAGTTTCCTATTTTTTACACACACACACACACACACACACACACACACACACACACACATATATGTATGTGCACACAGACACTTGTGACACACATGGACAGATTGTAGGCACGGGGGAGCGGGGTCACACACACACACACACACACACCTGTATACTCACAGATGAACATTATGAACATGGCTGGGTCTTGCGTGCAAAGTGATGTGACAGTTTTTGAGAGCTCAGCAGGGTTTGAGTGGTTGTTGTTTTTCTTATTCAGGGTTTGTGGCTTAAGGTGATCAAAAATGAACGACGTCTCAGGCGAGATGGGATGAGAGGGGAGACTTTGAGAGAGAGACTGTGTGTGTGTGTGTGTGTGTGTGTGTGTCAGTGCGTGCGTGCGTAGCGGAGGAGAGCATGGGCACTGCTTGTCACGAGAGCCAGTTTTATAATGTCAGATGACATAAATCATAAGGCTGACAGCACCAAATGGAGGAACAGATATGAGCCAGATCTGTCATCGGTGATAAGGCTAAGATAGTGAAAAACAGAGAGGGAGAGAAAGAGACTGCATGTGTTTCCTCACCCGATGGTTTACTCATTTAGCCGCTTTCAATGTCAGCAGCCTGATTGAAAAGCACTTTTTTCCTCATCTCCTCCCTCCCACTCTCTTCACCTCCACCTTCACTCCTCTGCTTTCACTAACTGCTCATGTCTTTTGCAATCTCCCTCTCGATTTCCATGAAATAACCGGTGGGTCAGCTGAATTAACTTTCTCTCCTCTGTCTTTTTCCATTCTCTCTTTTATTATCGTTCCTCTATCGTCTCAAACAGTTGTTTTCCATCTGCAATGAGCCCTGGCCTTCTTGCCGTGCATCTGGTCAAGAAGCTGACAGCCAAGCAAGGAGATGCAAACCCGTACTCTTTTCTTTTTTTTTAATACATATTTTGTTTTTGTGTTTCATCTCCATCCTGCTTTGGCTTAACTGAAACTTTATCACGTTACCCTTCCTCCACTCTCTCACGTCATTTTATTTCCCTTTGTCTCCTCCCTCTCACGTATTTCCTTACCTGAGAATTTCACCTTGCTGCTTCTCTTTTCCGAGTAACTGCTCCGCCTCCTCCTTCGTGGAAGCTGCTATTGCCAGTCTGCCAAAGGAAGAAGAAGGAGAGCAGAGGAATGAGAGTGAAGAGTCGTGAGCAATATTCACTCATTAGAGAACCTAAGCCTAACGTAATGCCACTGTACTCCCATGGGGTAAGATGAGCTTATAGATGATGCAGATTTAATGATCGTGAGGGCAGGATGATCGTGATGAGATGGAATGAGATGAAAAATTTAAATGTTCCTCAAAGGTAATTGATATTAAGAGACGAGCTTCCCATTATATCTTATTTCAGATGATTCAATAAATAATAAATAATTATTTGAATATGAGAGTCAGCAAAGCATAACGGCAAAGATGTAATATGATTGGAGTGCAAAAAAGAGATAAATTGCATTGGAAAGTAACTGAATTACTCATAAAATGCTACAGAGTAGAAGGTGCAATCATGATAACAGACCTAGGAGTTAGTATATCCAGGACACACACTTACATTGCAAGGTAGTAGGAAACTATAGCCCTCACATCTGAAAAATGCTAACACTTATTTACACTAAACCCACACTTGATGCACAGTTATCAGAGTGGTATTCAGAGTTAAGTGTATCCTAAAATTCACCATGGTCTACTGCACCACTGCAGTCCAGTTGTTGCCAGTAATGCGCCCATGAGCTAGTTTTATGACCAACAATAATTAACAAACATGAAGAAGTCAAAGTTTATGACATGCTCTTGATTACTTGCAAATACCGCAACTGTAGGTATTTGGACGGACCCTGCTTACTCTGCAGACGCTTTTAGCCTGATTGATTCCAGACAGAAGAAATCCAGTCCGACAGAGAGATTCCAGCAAGCAAACAAAAGACACATAAACAATGAGATTGTGTGACCTGGACAAAACACATCCTGTTCTTTCCTAAAACATCGCAAATAAGCACTGACAGCCAGACAGAGAGAGTAATAAACATAATGAGCAGTGCGTACTACAAGGAGCAGACTAGACAAATAGAGACTAAAACCAGACAGGTAATAATCATGACCAACAAAGTTTAATCAAGAAGTGTAATTTGAACGAGATGCGGTGTTCCTGCCAGGGGATTTTCTGCTTATTGGCAGCACTTTAGAAACAAACGTGAGGTAAGCCAATTTAAAGGTTTAGGAGTGATGTTTCCAAGATATTGATGCGAGTGATTCCCCTTTGATGTGTAAGAGCTCATGTGATTTGTTTTGTCTGTGCACAAGGTCAACCTAGGGCTGGGCGATGTATTGAATACTATTCCATATAATATATATACAGGCATGGATGACCATATCTTCAAATTCGAGCCATAGAGTGTGTTTATAATAATTACTGAAAGGCTGTGTGTTCGCACAGAGAAGAAATAAAAAGTCCTTGTTTATGTAATGTTACTACAGTGTCTTCTAGCCTACTCTTCACAGCAGATTTGGCTGTGAAAAGCTAGTAAGGAGCTATGAGTCATTGTGATTTTTATCCACCACAGTTAAAAAATGTGTGATAAAATGATTAATAACGTGATGGATACTCTACCCACAGTTTCTAGCTCTGAAACGTATTTGGGAGACCTTTGGGTTTAAGTTACAGTAATAGTCTTTAGCCTCATAGATGGTAACTAGCGAGCTATTCACAGTATCTGCTGTGAAGAGTACAGCAAGATGGTGAAGTAACGTTACATAAACAGGGACTTTTTATTTCTTTTCTGTGCTAGCAAACTCAAGAAACAGCCTGTCAGTAATTATTATACTGCAACCTGAGCTTACACACCGACAACAACATACCTGCTAGACTCCCTCACACACACAGGTTACCCAGGAGACCACCGTTCTTCCAGGGGAGGCTTGGCCAGGAAACACACAGGTGTAGCATACCATCCCCACTTTGAAGGTTATCCACTACAAGTAATTAAGGTCTGCATTCTAAATCACAAAAGACCATATCTAGAGGCAACGTTTGGTTTGACCGTTCTGGGCTACTGTAGAAACATGGTGGTTCAACATGGCGGACTTCCAGTAAATGTTCCACACTGGGCCTTTGACGATTATGTGTATGTTGCATCTTACTGCTGTTAGAGCAGGTTGTGCTTGAACTTGAACTACTTGATATACTGTTTAATCTATAGCAATGCATCCAATTCTCTAAGATCATCATATGTGAGAATTTATGGTATGTTATTCAGAGAAAATTTGTATGCTATATCGAGATATATCGAGCAGTGTAGTGCTAAGGCCAAGTTATATTCAAGATACCTGATACTACGCTAACTGCTAATAGGCAGAAAGCAATCTAGATAGCCTTGTCCTGCTCGCCAGGTTGAAGTAACAATGTCAGCTGTGTTGACACGTTATGTCAAGGACACAAACAGAGTCAAGAGAAAGACATGCACACATGGTGATAAGTATTTCATTCACAGCTGATATTGCGCCACCTTACTTACTCCAGTCCATTTTTTACTGCAAAGGCATCATAATACTGGTACTTTGTGAGTAGCAGTGACCACAAAACACATGAGCCATCTTATGGCAAAGATAATCTAAGATTAAAGGTCAAGTGCCAATGATTTAGAGCTTTCAACCGCTATTTATGACCACTTTTTATCACCTGACGGTAAGTTCACACTTAGGTCATGTGATGACATCGGAGCTCTTACTCTGTGATATGTAATGGTTATACAATATGTGTCTGTATGAGCATTTTATGGACTGAATTGGACTGGTATAATTGATTTAATGCATGGATTTACTTCGTTGTTTTTTGTGTTTAAATAAGTTAAACATATGTTCTCCTTTTATTTTTCTTTAAATGTTCTGGTACTGTGTAACATATATTTATGTTTATATTCCTGCTGCAGTTTTGGCCTGAACTAAAAGAGACTTTTTATTTGCAAGAGACCATCCTGGTTCAATAAAGGTCAAATAAAATATAAATGCCTTCTCTCTGATGAACTGCATGTACAGTAGAGTGGTTGAGAGCAGGGTGAGAATGGGTTGAGCAAGAATGCGTGTTTCTAGTAATCCTGTCAGTGTGTGTGTGTGTGTGTGTGTGTGTGTATGAGAGGCCTTTGAGTCTGAGTGCATGTTTACAAGTAAATAAGTATGCGTGTGAATGTGGCTTAGCTGATGTATGCGTCTCTGTGCATGTGTGTGTGCGCGAGACAGAGCAAGTTAGCGTTCTCCATTTGCATGCTAGCCTGTCTGTTTGTATGTTTGCCACTTTCTGACCAAGTCTGGTTGAACCCGTGATCCTATGTGTGTCTCTGTGTGTGTATTTGTGCGTGCATGCCTTTGCTTTTCGAGTGACGGCAGCCCAGACTCCCACTGTTCACCCATCTGTCCCCACCAGTCCCAGAGCGAGATCAGAAAGAACACTGCCTCGAGAGGCGCGTGTGTGTTTGTGTGTTTGCGTGAATGTGTATGTGTGTGTGTGTATTTTGTATTACGAATCTGTGCGTGCTTTGTGTGTGTGAGCCTGAGCTCCTGTTCCCAGGGCAGTGGCTGTCAGTGGAATAACTAGGTAGTGAAGCGCCAGTGAGTGCGTGCCAGATTAGAGTACCCCCTACCAGCAGCCCAAATCAGCTGCCTCATCAGGACATGTCACACACACACACACACACACACACACACACACACACACGAACAGTATTGCACAAACATCAACAACACTGATCTGCCAGCCACAGTGTTATCGTGACCTACCAAGTCAACTTTTTTCTTTTTTTGGAGTGTATGTGTCAGAGAGTTTACCCGTTTTATGCTCCTTCATATTTTCAGAGATTTCAGACTGAAGGTCAACATAACAAAGCCAAACGTAACTTCCCCTAGTAGGCTTATTTTAAGCCCTACACTATGTACAAAATGTTCTGTTATTATGTCTGTTTATCCTAGTTTTTGTACAGTCCTCAAACTCAAGGGTGACAGCAATTTTTCTAATGCTGGCCCTTACCTTTCAGACTTGCCCTTTCATATCAGATTATGCAAATAGCTTTAATGTCCCTCTTTGCTTTACTGCTTTTGTTTGTGTTGTTTTATTGCTGTGCAACACTTTACTGTTTTATCTGTTTTTTTCATGGCAGCTGCAGCAAGGACAGCACATGGGGTGCCGGCTCTACCAGGCAAGCCACCAGGGTGCCCAGGTCAGGGTGGATTTGATACAGAACTATTTAGTGATGATAACTTATGAGTTCATCAGCATCAGCGTAAATGTGGTTGCATATCTGTGTGCGTGTGTGTGTGTGTGTGTGTGTGTGTGTGTGTGTGTGTGTGTGTGTGTGTGTGTGTGTGTGTGTGTGTGTGTGGGTGTGTATGTGTGCGTGTGTTTGTGCTGGCATGTCCTGTCATCATTAGACGTGACATAAAAGCTTCCCCATATCAAAGCGTCATCTGTTCACCCACTGTGTGTGCACATGTGTGAGTTAAAAGACTGTTTTGATCAACAACATAGCAGGACATTCAAAGCTAAAAGTCATTTTACTTTAACCCAAAATGGGAGCACAAACAGAACGTAATACACCTACACCCAGAGACAGAAACTGACACACACTAACTTATATAAAGTGTGTGTACAGCTTTCAGATGTTTCTAAAACACAATCTGGGCTTGTCAAACACTGGTTAAATGATTTAATGAAAACTTTAAGCAGTTTAATTAGATGAGACAGTGCCTCGTCAATTAATCATAATCCTTTACTGAAAATGTTCTGTCTGTGTGTGTGTAGTGTAGTGTGGCACCTGTCTGTATATATTTTGTTTTCAAGTTATCTGGTTACCATGTCAGGGCTGCCATAACAATGATTGGGATCAAAGCAGCACACATGCACAGACACACAGACACAGCACAAAATACAAGCACAAACAATGATATCATATTATAGCTAAGTGAATTAACTCGAAGGAGATGAAAATGTATTTGTCCTCCAGCTTGTCAATTTTAATTCAAATTCAGAAAAGCAATGTATCTCTCTGTGTTTCATTTGTGTGTGTGGGTTGCTATGCTACTGCTCCCACATGTTACTCTTGATTACCAAATAAA